GATAATTAAACCAAACAATTTCTGGGACAAATATACGTAGGTAGCCCCTACCTCATAGTAAGTTTATTAAAAGCAAAAGTCAGATTTTAAGTTCACCAAGTAAATAGCATAGAATTTTCTCTCAGATTATTTATTTGTAATTATTCCATGGCACTGCCAGTAATATTAAATAGTCAATGCATTGATATTATTGCCAAAGAACTTAAAATTTGAATGTTGGTACAAAGTGGCATATCTTGAAATTAACTTTAAAAAAATATCATGCAGACAGCCTTTGTAAATTATAAAAGGAAAATGATGATTGCAAAACTTCCCATTGAATGAATTCATAGAGAACAATTGTTATTGCATTTATTTAATATTAGACAGTTCACCTTGAAAAAAAACTAAATAGCCTGCATGATTAACACCAACTGATTCTAGGGAAAGGTTTTATTTCTTTTGTAATAAATCAATTCTTAAGAAAAAAATAGTTTTTTTGTGTTGTTTTTTTGGTTAAATAGTATGTACATTAACAAATAATTTTTTTTTATTCAATTTAAAAAAAAAAACAATTTATGTTTTTTTTTTAAGATGGTGGACAGGACCATGGCAGCATTGTTCTGTTACATGTGGTAATGATGGCATCCATCGTCGTACAGTAATATGTGTGAGGAGTCTTGGAAAAGATGAACAAATAGCCCTAGAAGATTCTGTGTGTGAGGAACTAGAAAAAACAGCGGAGGCAGAGAGGTGTAGGGATAAAGTTCCCTGTCCTGGGACCAGTGAATGGCAGACTACTGATTGGTCTTCTGTAAGATAATTGTCAAAAGTTGTTTTTTTATACAGTGATTAAAGATACCTTCAGATTAAATCAAATGTTTGTCTTAGATTTTAGATTCACTTTTGCTGTAAGAAATGTAAAATCTGCAACACTTTGGTTTATTCTGGCATATCAGAGATATTGTGAGTGAAGAAAATATTGCTCTTATTATATTTCTGTATAAAACATACAAACTAGTAAGCATAGATAAAACTAGATATTAGCTATTGCTGATTAGTAATAAGTATGATATAGTTGAACGCCAGTACAAAAACAAGTTATTAAAAAAAAAAAAAAAACTGAAGTGATAATTCTATATTCAACGTTCAACAAATATTATAAGTTAAAAAAATATCATTCAAGCATATGCTAAGAATTATCCATATTTATATGTTCATACCACATTACTATTTGTTCACAAATTTATTGAGAAATTAGTGTTGGATTAAATTAAATTATTTAGGATATGAAAGCCATCATGTTGTCTTAATCATAAACTCTAAATGTATAAATTAATAATGAGGGGCCTGATGAATTATTTTCGTGATCCGTTTTTTTACAGATTTTTTTTTTTATATTTTCGTGATCCCTGATCATGGAAATTTATTTTCTGTGAATCGTGATTGACAAAAAAATCAACTCGTGAATCGTGATGAGACCCCTCCATCAGACCCCTCAATAATAGTATTATTACCATCAAATGACTAAGGCATTTTCAGCTGGCTTTAATTCTTAAAAAACATTAAGTCATATCTGGTAGTTCAGTTTTATACTCAGAGGCAGGAACTCTGAAGAAAGTGTGCATTTTGACAAAAACTAATTTAATTTTCGGTATATCATTATTCAACATAATATGGTTTCATCCTAAATTCCCCACACTAGAAATCACTAGTAGAGCAACCCTTCTTAAGCCCTGAGTTTCCCCTTTTTTAAATGGGTCTTGTCTTGCTCCATCAGAAGTGTTCTGTGTATTGTTCTATGGACTTCCTAAGTCTTTTGGACATGAGGATGTTTGTAATTCAAACGTTTTTCCAAATATTTAACATTTTTGTCTAATTATTTATTAATTATAATTGTTATGGATAACAGAAATAGGCCAGTTTAATATGATCACGAGATATTTTTATAGACAGTCACTGTGTGAAATCATATGTATTATAACAGGTGTTTTACACAATTTCTTGAAAAAACATGGTAAGATGTTCATCTTAAGAGGGCCCTGAATGGTAAACCAACATTTTTTTCTCTTGTAAATTTTAATTATATAGTGTCTTACAATGAAATGTGTCTTTTGTACTATAAACCAAAAATGCCAGTTTTAACGATAAAGTGTGAATATTATATTTTTATCCTGTTGGAAATACAACAGTATTTTGAATGACATGCCAGTATCAATTTTTTATGAAGCAATTTACATTGTACATTTTTGTATTTCAAATTTCATTGGTTGCATCATTTCTATTTATAACCCTATATTTGTCATAATATATTTACACGTTTTTTGTACATTTATACCTCATGTTATCATTATTTTCTAAAAGCTTGTAAATCAGTGATTTGTATCATGTTGTATGCTTCCAAGTGTTCCGTCTTATAAAAATATGAAATAAAAATTTTAATTGATTAAATTTTTTGCCTTCAGGCTTTTTACAAGCTTATACCTCGATCATCATTACCTAATGATGGAACTGAAAAAAATGATCATCTGAAGACTTAAAGGTCTATTGTGTATAAATAAGTTATTACAGCTACAGATACAGTTTTCCATTACTATATCCATTCTTGCATTTTGTTTGTGTAACAAGACTATACCACAGATACGTTTCCATTACTATATCCATTCTTGCATTTTGTTGGTGTAACAAGACTATACCACAGATACGTTTCCATTACTATATCCATTCTTCCATTTTGTTGGTGTAACAAGACTATACCACACATACATGTTTCCATTACTATATCCATTCTTGCATTTTGTTGGTGTAACAAGACTATACCACAGATACATGTTTCCATTACTATATCCATTCTTTCATTTTGTTGGTGTAACAAGACTATACTGCGTTTGGACCTGTGTCACTGCATGCAATTGATTGAGGTTAACTGGAGCATAACTGATCACTCCCTTTCACTGATGCCAAGAAAACTTCGATGAAATCTCCCTTGTACAATGAGTGTTGTAAGATTTCAAACTATCTGCAAACAGGAAGTGGCTATACAGCAGATGTTAAATTTGCTGCAACTCAACATTATCAAGCTGCAGACCAAATATTGAATCAATCCCTTTAATAGGATCCTAGGAAAATTTTCCTCTTTTCCTCGTACAATGAGTGTTCAAACTATCATCAAACAGGAAGTGGATACATGAAAGACGTTATAATTGCTTAGGGAGCTACCATTTGATATTTAGGGGGGGGGCTAGGATGAAAAATTTTGTTCTGTATTTTTTTTTTAAGTTGTAAACTCTGTCCTGCCTTTTTATTTTTCACTCTATTGGGTCCTGCCTTTTTTTTTAAAGTTTATCCTGACTTTTTTTTAGCAAGTGTCTCATCCTGCCTTTTATTTTACTAAAAACTCCTGTTTTCAAATTTGATCCTAGCCCCCCCCCTAAAAATCAAATGGTAGCTCCCTTACTCCCTGCAACTCAATATTATAAAGCTGCAGACCAAATATTATATCATGCCCTTTTTATAGAAGCCAAGAAAACTTTGACAGACAGAGTGGAGTGGTTTCTAGACCTTTGGTGTTGCAGGTAAAATAAAGTTTCCCTCTGATTTACTCTCTAATAAGGAAAAATCCCTGCTTGTATGAAATTTTATTCATAATTTCACATTCATTGAAAATTTTAAAACAAAACACAAAACATGCTGACAACTTGCATGATGAACCTTAATCATGATTAACATAAGAATAAAGAGATGCAGTAGGATTAACTATCCACCATAGACCTAAGTACAAAGATTTGAACAATTACAGGTCATCATGCAGCCTTCAACAATGAGCAAAACCCATATGGTCTTATAGTAAGTTTGTTAGGAGTCCTGGTATGCCAAATGAAAAACAATTCAACAAAAAAAAAAAAACACACAGCCTGATTAACAAGCATTACATAAAATATAATAAAAATCAGGTTTAAAAGGCTTGACTCATCAGATTGGTACTAAGCCGCCCCCTTCCCCAAAAAACAAACAAAAAAAAGGAAATAAAAAGACAAATGACTGAAAGCTAGCTTCAAGTCTAATTTCAACAAGTAAATAAACCATGTTCTCCCAGACTTCAATGTTACATATTTGGTATTTCAAAAAAGCCAAGTTTTATCAATACTGGGATTGGACAGTTTGTCTGAAAATATTTTCTTATTCATACACCAAAATATACCTTAGAGTCAAACAAACCTTCCCCACATCCTTGATGTATGACCAGTTTATAAAGTTTCAATTTTTCTAATATGATACTTATTACTGATATCTTGGTTCTACAAAACTTAAAAATATTATTATAAACTGTTGACACAGAGATATGTCTCGTCTGAATGTAGTTTTGATAGCAAAATTCAAAATTTGAAATGAAAACTGCAATACTTGAACATGTATAATATGCAAAACGTTCAAAGTCAATGAACTATGACTGAAGTTCCAGTACCAAATAATCTCCATTGAAATTAGATGTGCCAATGCTAATACAACTGTATACCATTTATCACTGACTCATCATCAGTGGTTTCCCTTAAATTTAACCTAATCACAAAATTTAACATGTAAAAGAGAGGTAGGTGATTTAAAAGGGATTTACTATGCAAGTTTTAAAATCAATGAACCATGAGTGAGGGAGAGGGGCCAGATAATCTCCATGGAAATGAGATGTTCCAATGCCTATTTATATTAACTGCATACCAAATGTCATTGACTAACCATTAGTCTTTCATCTTAAATTGACCTAATGACAAAATTTAACATGTAAACTATGCAAAAGTTTCATGACCATGACTGAGGGGCAAGGCCAAATAATCTCCATGGAAATGAGATGCGTCAATACATGTACTAAAACAACTGCATACCAAATATCATTCACTTACTATTAGTGGTTCCCTTTAAACTGACCTTATAACAAACCTTAGCAAATTAATGCTTCACCTTTGCCACTTCGTCGAGGCAAGACAATAAATGACCATTTTTTCACAGACATTGGAAACAAAGAATAATCTTGAGCATATTTATTTTTAATAAACATAATACAACATTAATGTTTGAGCCATTTCCCTACAGCTCCCAAAGCAGAACCAAAAGTCTGAAGCATTGAATGTGTTGATCTGGACTGCAACATTAAAGAACCAGCCTCAGCTTTGAATCCATTGTCATTCAGCTGATAGGCTACTTTTTCCAATAACATATAGTCATGTGATTGTTCCTCCACATTCTGATTGGCTAACAGATAACCAATAACAGGTTTGTAGTAAACAGTATATACAATTTGTGGCAGAAGACTTCTCTTTAACAGGAGATCAAACAACTCTTCATCATCTTTTGCCTTGAATATAACAAAAAATTAACATAAATACACATATGAATTTAACAATATGATAAAATGCTAATTGTGTATATTTGCTATTGTGAAGACAATAAAGTGACCAAAAAATGGTCTTTCATTTTTTACAGGTGATTTGTGTAGTAAGCTGTCACATGTACATGTGCCATCAATATGCAAGCAGATTATAATAAATACTGTAAACCAACTAATTTTTGCAAGAGATTTATTTTCACGAGTAGAAAATAACGTGAATATAAATCGTCACAAATATGTAAATCAAAGCACCAGGGGCGCTATAGGCAGTTAATTAAAAAAAAAAACAAGGCAAATGTGGCAGAAGCTTAAGTTAAGATTAATATTGTAGAACAATTGGTTTAACTTTTTATCTCAGCTATTTCAAGTTAAAAAAATGTTTGTACCTTAATGTTTCCGCTATCCAATCCTACCATTTTCCAAAGTTATTTCTTATTTATCTTAAATATGTTTCCTTTAAGATGAGCCTTAAATGAAAATTTTTATAGGCCCAGACATAACTCAAAAAATAATTAAAATAAATTCAACCTAGACTTATTTCTTGCATCAACTAAATTCTATAATAAACAAAAAATAATTGTAACAGGATACTGTTACGAAGTCTCCAAAACAAAGCTCCTATAATTCGTCGCCTAATTGGGCCGATTCCAGTACAAATTGGTTTGGTCAAGTAAAGTGATATGCATATGTGACGCCTAGGAGATTGACTGTATGTCATTCAAACATTCTTGAGTTGACGAACAGGAATATTATATATATGGTTTAGGGGTGGGGATCTCAACCTTTTTCAAGTTCTCAAAAGGTGGGGGTTGATCCCCAGGGGACTCTCCCTTTATTTCATTTGATTTGTTTTAATGTCCCATACAAGAATATATATGGTTTCCGGGTGGGGATCTCGACCGTTTGCAAATTTTCAAAAAGAAGAGGGGTGGGGTGACCCCCATGGACTAATCCCCTATATTTTATTTTATTTGTTTTATTGTCCCATACATGAATATATATGGTGTAGGGGTGGGGATCTCAGCCGTTTACAAGTTCTCAAACAGGAGGGGATGGCGTGACCCCCAGGGTCTCCCCTATATTTAATTTGATTTGTTTTATTGTTCCATACAAGAATATGTATGGTTTAGGGGTGGGGATTTCGACCGTTAACAAGTTCTTAAACAGGAAGGGGTGGGGTTGACCCCCTGTGGATTCCCCTTATATTTCATTTTATTTGTTTTATTGTACCATACAAGACTATGTATGGTTTAGAGATGGGGATCTCAACCGTTAACAAGTTCTTAACAGAAGGGGTGGGGTTGACCCCCAGGGATTCCCCCTATATTTCATTTGATTTGTTATATTGTCCCATACATGAATATATATGGTTTAGGGGTGGGGATCTCGACCATTTACAAGTTCTCAAACAGAAGGGGTAGGAGTGACACTTGGGACTCCCCCAAATCATTTTCATTTGATTTGTTTTATTGTCCCATACAAGTATATATATGGTTTAGAGTGGGGATCGCGGCTGTTTACAAGATAAAATTTCTTAAAACATCCCATCAACGTCGATTGTCGGATCTTTTTCGTTCATAAAAACAACATTCATAAAAAAACAACAACACCTGCAAAGGTCAGTGATAAAAGGGATAATATACATGTAGTAAAAGAAAGGAATTTAAATGTGCATACATTTAATTGAAATGAATAAAATAGTCACAATCTTCTTAAACGAAAAGAACATCATTATTAACAAAACTTACTTCAAAACATCGGGATACTTGCCTTACGTTTTGCGTAAGTTAAAATTACTGCCAAGGTAGACTACTACATATAACTTTATTTCCTCTATCATAGAGATTATATCACTTGGTAGATGGTCATCTAATTGTTACACAAGATACATTCATACTTCGCCTAATGTTCTTAAAAATGCTCAAAAACAATTAGCAGAGACAGACAGAAGTTAGGTTAAATTGTACTGGCAACAAAGGTTCCCCATTCCACTTGGGGGCTACAGCTGCTTCACACCTGTATTTGGCCAATTCGATACAAATTCTACACATTAGCCTTTGTATCTTATCCCCCAAGTTTTAATTTTTATATTTATATGAAAAGGGGGATAACTCAATTTTAATTTCTAAAGTGTCAAACAGCTGTTAGTCCCCAGTTTTTCCAAGTTGTAATTTGTTTATGTAAATATGTATATATGTTGTTAGATTAGAATGCTTAGTTCGTAATAAAATGTTTCTTTTATCCTATTGTTGTTAACATATATAGATTCAAAGTATGATAGAGGTGCTGGTATAAATCCGTGAGACAGCAAAAATGAATAGAATCTTGTATACATGTTCTTAGAAGCAGCATCAGTTCAAACTTGGCAATAGTTTATTTAATACTACAGTATAGGACTTATAAGTTGGTATAGTTTGTATCCAGTTCTATTATTGTGGTATATGAGACATTTACTAGTTTGTTCGTACATGTAGATATCCGTATATTGTCGTCATTTTACATTAGGAAATAACTGGTCTATAAATAGAGATTTGGTGTACATGAACAATATTCCTGCGCTTTTGGCCATTTGGGAAATGTAAACGACTTGTAATTGTAAATATTTCATACAATTTTTCTTCGACATCTTAGCCAAAAGCACATGGGATGATAAACTAAGTACGGATTTCTATTGAGCACTACTTCCTATGTGCAACTTCAAAAGTTTTGGGTAGTTCGACGATCAATTAAGGTTTTTCTGGTCATATTTTTTGTATTCCAGAATTGAAAGTATGAAAAAGTGCCCAATTAGTTATTAATAACATATTAGCCAGTTAGATAATAACAATAGCACTTTTTACACCATTTAGTGGGAAGAACACACATCTAGGGTGGTAGCATAAGGCAGCTTAACTGCCTAAAAATGTGAATCTTTCCTTATTCAACTACATCAAATAAATTTGAAAATTGCAAAATTAAATTGCCACGAAGTCAGCCAGAAAGGGCTAAACGCGAAATAAAGTATCAGCAAAAATAAGTTGGTTTACAGTATCTGTCCACAATTCTGCATGCCCATTTTTTTTAGCATCTTTTTGATAAAGTTGAATGCAAGCCAGGTAATTTTTAGAGGTTTCTTTAACTAAAAAGCTGTTCATCTACAGCTGGAAATTTACCATATTTCTTTGAAACTATTTGAAATTAAAAAACAGCAGAAGATTTAAAATCCCCATAGTGAATATAGAAGTCCCTAAAAAAACTAGTGGACTGTACATGTTAGGTAATTGTTTCCTTTTTATTTTCATAATTGTTATAGCCTTTCTCCTATTTAAAGGACAAAAAAAAACCATAACAGGACATTAATACAACCTAAACAAAAAAAGTGTAATAGTCTTACATATAAGAAACTAAGCCAATATTGTGTATGGAAGATGAAATATATAATTCATTATCCTCTCTCTCAAATATAATTGACAATGGCCAAGTGCTGACCAAAAATATATAAACTATACCTCATCAAGAGCTGCCAGTTCTGTGACAACAGCAGACAACATATCTTTATGTGTGGACAGTAATACAAACTTCACTCCTTCTATTGTGTACTTCTTTTCTATCATCTTGTTATACACATGTCTTACACACTGAAAAGGAATAAAATATGTTTCAATTTTTCACATAAATCTAAAAGTCACTTGATAATATCTTTTGGAAAATCATATAAATTTTACTATTCTTAACAAGTCTCAGTGATGTTTTCATAAATCTTTTTTCAATTTCTTTTTGGTTTTTTGGTTAGTCAAAACTATTACTACAATCATCTTGTATAAAATAAAGAGGGGCGTAAATGGGGGGGGGGGGGGGGGGGGGTATCTGAATGGAAGAAGGCGAAATAAAATTGCCATTTCACGATGAACAAACAATTAAAAATTTCTTGCACATTGATCTTTTTACCTATTTTACAAAACACGGTGAATAAAGAACCTTTTTCACGGCTGCACGTGAAATAAAAATGGCAAAACGTTGCACAAAAAATAACCCTTCACCACCCTCATTAAATACAACAGCATTTAACCCATGTGCAAATCTCATAAATCCATTAAAAAGTTACAAATCAAGGTAAAAAATAACCAAAACTGAGAGAATCACATGAACTCCAAAAGGAGCAAGGCCTGGTGAGTCAACAGGGTAAGAGACTCCTACTAAGCATGCACCACCCACCATATAGGGTATAAAACTTTGTTAAGAAGAAATCTATTAAGCAACATCAGCTAACATGTTCAGTTTCTCTGGCCTCACAGTAATAAAAATTTAGAGCACGATTATCGTACTCAAGACTCAGAATGTAACCATCCAAAATACTGGATTTGGTGTTTCGAACACAAATTTTGCACTCCGATGACTGAGTAAAGTTTTATGACCTAGGGTCCAGATAAAGGGAAGTGAGACTGTTCATTAAATTAAATAGATGTGGTATGATTGTCAAAGTGACAACTATCCACCAGGGACCAAATGACAAGGACAACTAAAGGGCACTGTACAACCTTCAACAATAAGCATTTTTCATACTGTACAGTTAGCTAGAAAAGTACCTGACATGACAAAATACCTAGATATTTCAAATTTGATCAATTCAAAACAGATTTCTAGACACCAATTCTGTATAGAAATATTATTTACAGCAGGATAGTCTTTTAAAATCATTTTCTAAGTCTCATAAAATAAAACACATACCTTTATACTCAAACTGACACTATCACAAATATTTCTGTACTTTGTAACCACCAAAGCTACAGTCTTATAATCTGAGGTGTTTATCATGGCACAAAATATGTTTACCCAAACATTTTGTTCATGGTCACTGAAAAAAAAAAGTAAACGTCAGTATTCAGTTAACTTTACAGCATCATAATATACTCTGGATTCATGAATATTCATACATTTTTTTTTTTCGCGAAACCAATTCCATCGCAATTTTTGTAATGACAAAAACATTGCAAAATTTTCTGAATTGACAGTAAAAAAATGGTTGTATGTTTTGCTCAGTCTGAGAAGGTGTAAGTACAAGCAGACCTAGATGCTGTCGATAGTTATATAGTCCCAATAAAATTTCTTGAAGGAGATTAAAATAACAAGCCATCAATATATACATGTATAGCTGAACCCTTTATGCACTATGAAAAACACAGAAACTTTTTCTGTGGTACTGAATAAAATAAGGATCAATAAATTGTAGTAAAAGGAATTTCATTCACAATTTAAGGCAGATTCCACAAGAGATAGATGTACAAAACTTTAATGTTTTTTGGAGCACATTGCTTAGTCAATCTGAAGCCATGTATGGTTTGACCATATTAGGTAATGGTTACCTGTACTGGGAACAGCAGATGTGAGAAATTATTTTTGAGAGAAGAAACAGGTCAAATATGAAAAGAAACAATTAAGTTGATTTCTAATTAACATTGTTCATGTAAGTTTATTTTTAAGGTCCATGGAAAGTTAATTTTTGAAATCATCACAAATTATTTTGCTTTTTACTTGTTAACTCAAATTAAGGCGAACCTTTAAAACTTAGTAGACAACTGTCAAGATATTTGTAGAAGGTCCTGTAACAACAACACTTTAAGGAATGCTCCAGTAATTTATTGAGATAGACATGTTTCAGTGGCTAGGCCACCGTCATCAGGATAGAAAACAATACATAAAATCATGCTGAGGTACAAAATCGAGGTTGAGAAAATTAAAACGTCACAATGTCCACTAGTAGGTTCATTGCATGATAGTTTGCTGCTGAAATCCTGAAATGTAAACATCAGAAACTAATGATCCTCCATGCCTAATATCTGATAAAATATCGTTTTCAACATCTAAATTCGGTATACTGAATTCAGAAATAACATCCATAGGGTGGATTGTTTCAAATTCTATAGGATACGAACCCTGAGAATCAATTTTTCGAGTTGGAATCCCAAAAATATTCAAAACTGAAACCTACATTGTCTGCCACTTTGATTGCGTCATGTTTGCATAAAAAATTTCCAAAATGGATTTCCCTCTATTCAAACCATCAGATCTAACCATCAGATACTTGTATTACTCTGATGTGTCATGAAATTATCTTTAGAATAAAGGGAATACTCTAAATATTTCTATTTTAAAGAAATGACGCTGGTTGTTAACAGTAGGTTGTCACAACTAGGGTTTTACAAAAACAATACTACTTATTTCAGTACCAGAAGCATGTCAATTTAAAAGGGTTATACCCATTTCCTGCAAATTAAGGGTTAAAGGTTGATTGCAGAATATGTAGCATTTATTTCTATGGTTGCATTATATTGCATCTATTTAATTTCACTTACCTGCTATTTGCAGCTTTAAGTGGAGGCCATAGTTGTAGTAAGTCACAAATAGAATTAAAATGATTGTAATTAGAACTCTGGGACAATAACTGTAAAAACAGCTGGTGTCTTGCCTTGTCTGTATTTATATCACCTTCTTTTAGCTGCAATATCAAAATAAAATAGTCTACAAATTGTGTTGTTTTTTAAATATTTTACAATATCATCAAATGCATAACCAAAAATGTAACATGCAATCGGTCTTATTTAAAAAGGGTAAAATACCGCAAATTGAAACCTCCTTACAAAAAACTGTGTGGGTAAGTATGATATCAAACTCACGGGTAAAGGGAATTTTAAAAATACTAAGTCAATATTGATTCTAACAAAAACCTATAAATATATTACCTATATTACAACCAATTTGAATTGAATGCATTTTCAAAGGGAGACAGAAAACAGCAGATAGAAAAGCTATTTTTAAAATATAAATCTAAAAACCTCAATACATTGTGATGCAGTTGTAACAACCAATCTTTCAGAAGGATTGATAAATAGGAATTATGATTTGTATCTATGACAAGAGTCTTCTTTAAAGCAAATTAATGCTATAGGACAATGTGGTGATTGTCAATCTACATGCAAAGACCCTGATGTGATGCAGATATGATAAACAAGTATATGTACTTTTAATGTCTCCTTATAAAATACCTGTATGTCAGACCATGTTGCCTTGACAACAGCCTCAGTTCTGTATAATGTCAACAAAACTAAATCTTCCTCACTTAACTGGAAACTCTAGAAATAAATAAACGCATTCACAGAATGTTTGGCACGATTACATTATGTGAAAATGTACAGTAACTTATGGTAAATATCCTAATGAAAAGTTAATATAAAACTTGTTTCTATAAAAAAAGGTTTCCAAAAATTTTTTTCTAAAACCACTAGTGTTGAATACGTAATATTCATTTATGCTTATATATAATTACATTACATGTATGTTTCATTATAATACATTATTTTGATTGGCTAATAGCAATCTCATGTCATTCTGAAATTAACCTTCATTTCAAAATGAAATGTAACATTCATGATGACACATGCTTCCACAATAAAGTGCACAGATAAATAAAAGAAAAACTTGATAGAAATCGTGTTTTAATGATCCTAGTAGAAAAATGTAATTATAAGTATTGAATGCTTCTTTGGGTGTAAAAGCGTTGACTGTGCGGACATTTTTAGAATGAAGCGCTGAAGCGCTTCATATAAAATGTACTTCTGTCAATGCTTTTACACCCCAATGAATTTACAAAAAGAAGCATTCAATTCTTACATATATGCATGTATTGGAGAAGATGTTACTAAGTTGCAAAACTTGTGTCTGATCCATTTGTCCTTTTGAAAATCAAAACTTTTGGTTTTTCAGATATTTTGTCCTCAAGCATCACTGAAGAGACATTCATTGTCGAAATTTGCATCTGCTGCAGCAAAATCAGTAACATTAATGTTATTGAACTAAACTGGTTTAGAAATATAAGTAATACATCCAGGTATGATAAGTGTCTACTTTTTGAAGGTAAGATCCCAGCTAATATAAAAGTATATAAAAGAATAGTATTGTACATTTACATATTTTATTGTCCCAAGTTTGAACAAAATATTAGCTAGAGGATACTAGGCAAACAACAATCAATTGAACTCTTAATTATTCACTGTACATTTAACCTGTTCATTGAAGGCAACAATAAATTCACAAACAAATCTTGATACATTTTGTATTTTCATTTCAAATAATGGTTTGATGCCTGACTCCAATTTAACAAAAAAAAAAGATTAAATAACACATTTAAACTGTAAAAACTAAAAAATTTACCTTTTCCACCATATGCAAGACATCTAGTCTTGGTTGAACTGCTACCCTGTCATCTGAACAGAATGGTCTCAATAAAACCATAACATCTTCTGAAGAGACAAGATTCCCCCTGAAATATAAAGAGTCGAGGTATGTAATACATGTAACAAAATATTTCTTGGTAAAAATCCTTACTTAAACCATTCCATATGTGAATTTCAGCCTAAAAAAGATGGTAATAGCTGTATCAATATATATCATAGTATTCCACTTGTTCCAAGTGGGTATCTTGATTTGGTTATAAAAAGATGGTCTCTATATGGCTGTTTGTTGAAAATTTTAAGCCACTGGAAGGGAAATGGATGATTGGTGTAACTTTCGACTCAAAGATGAATCCAGGATTGATTTTGAAATCATTTTTGCCCAGTATTTCATAGGACTGTTGCATAATGAATATTTATGCTATACAAGTACTTCTTACTAGAGATTCATTTATTTCCATGGATCAACATTTTTGTGGATTGAGAAAAACTATATTTTCAAAGATACTTGATTTCTTTTGTTTGTTTAATTCTTTATATAACCAATATTCATATTTTGATGAATACCTGAATAAAGGGTTCACCTATAACTTCAAAATCCATGAAAATTTATACCCCAAGAATAATAATGAATACACAGTATCCACAATATCATTGTAAGTTTAAGTTCTTATTACATGTTTTTTCCTTAAATTAAAAAATCAATTCTCGATCATGTGAATTCAACTTTAAACAAGCATATTTCAAGATAATCTCTCTAATCTGAAAAAAATGTGTACTTCTCTTTTAAGACACTGATTCAGTAGTCCAAACCTTACCCTTGCTTTTGATGTTCTTCAACGTTAAGTACAACTTTCTCAAGTCTGACAAGAATCTTTTCTTTGTCCAATTCATTTGGATCTCTGTAATCGAAAATCATAGTTTTGTGTTTAAATAACCTTCACATTACAATTTAAGCAACTGTAGATGTTTTTAAATGTTAGTGTTATTTGGTTGCTGTCTCATTGACATACACCACAGTTGACATACTGTTTGTGGTGTCCATGGTAAAATTGAGAATGGAAATGGGAAATATGTCAAAGAGACAACAACCTGACCAAAGAGCAGACAACAGCCGAAAGCCACCAATGGGTCTTCAACATAGCGAGAAAATCCCGCACCCGGAGGTGGTCCTCAGCTGGCCCCTAAATAAAATTGTGTACTAGTTCAGTGAAAATGGACGTCACACTAAACTCCAAAACATATAAATGAACTAAAATTAAAAACATGCAAGACTAACAAAGGCCAGAGGCTCGTGACTTGGGACAGGCGCAAAAATGCGGCGGGTTAAACATGATTTGTGAGTTCTCAACCCTCCCCTATACCTCTAGCCAATGTAGAATAAAGATACACATAGTAATATGCACAGTAAAACTCGGTTCAAAAGAAGTCTGAGTCCGATGTCAGAATAGGTAACAAAAGAAACTAAGCAAAATGACAATGATACATAAATGAACAAAGGACTACTAGCAGTTTCTAACACAGTTCTTGTCTAAATAACTGAACCATCCTCTCATGTTGCACCTGGTGTCCATCGTGATACTATAATGTATACTTATGTAAATAACTGCATTAGGGTACAAATAGTCAGCTGTTGTTTTGTATATCTGTGGTGTCCATGGTAACACTGTTCTTACATAAGTAAATGTATGTGACAAACAGCTTCCTTTAATGTTGTGTGTGTCATCAATGGTGATGATATATTTACCTTAGTAACTGTATCATGTGATTAACAGCTTCCTTTAGTGCTGTATGTGGTGTCCATGGTGACACTGTAAACACTTCCATAATGTCTTCTATGAGCTCCACGGTATAGCCATTCTCTATCATATCACAGTACAACTTCTGCAACTAAACATTGAATTATATTTGACACAACTAAATATTGTTTGTAAAATCACTGGAATACTTTGTCATTTAGGAGATAACTGTATTGTTTTTTAAGCTTGGACTTTGTAAAATGTAGTTTTTATTGTCACAAATTGTGTTTATCTCTCGTCGCATAGTTGAGCTAGGTAAAGGGTATTTGCGACAGTAAAACCAAGTTAATGTAAGCCAAGCTTAAAATACAATATTTTTATCTCCATTCCAACTTAATCAAAATATTCCACTTGAATTATTATTTTGGCTTAAAATTTTTGTCAAATATAATAAAATTCTGCAAAACTTTGTTCTCATCTTGGCGACAAACTTATTCACCAGATGTTTTTCAACTATGTGTATGTTCAGATTGATATAAATTTTGGCAAAAAAAAGGTTGGGTGAAAAATGTGACTATCTTGTTTATTTTTTGAAGAAATCACATATCAAAATATTCCAGAATTTAAAATGGCAGCTACCTTAGTTACAGACCAGTAAATTAATCCCCTCAAGATATCCACAAATATTTATTGACAACAAATCCAAATCATCTTTACAAACGAATTGCATTAGAATAAACTATTTCATAATGAATTAAGGGTCCAGCTAAGTTTTTGAAGAAAATGTATACCTGTAAATTATCTCCCTTTGACAAATCAAACTTTGCAGCATAATCCACCAACATATCATCACCAGACATTGACAATGATTTGAAACTTTCATGATTTAATCTTTCTATGTGACTCAGATATTGCTGTAGAGTGTTGGCAGCATCCTCCCAACTTATCCTGCACCTAAATAGAAAATAGTACCTTATTGCAGCACCTTAGTAACATTCCATATATAGATTCTACCACCGCATTGAGTGTGGGTGGAAATTTCTCCTCTAGAGACACTTAAATTTTGTCTATTTTATGGTGTCACATTAATACAGTGTGGAATCTGTGTGTCTTATGATTTTCAAGGCAATTTTTTGGCAAATTATTTTCTTTTTCATGGATCTGCAAAAATGATTGTGTTTAATCTGTTTGGCGTCATCAGACATTCAGTTGTACCCAGCTGTTGGAAAAAAAATCAGTAGGAAAAATGTCACACATTATCTCTAACAATAACCTCCTCCAACTTAACAATAGTCAAAATATATACTGTAAATTCAGAAATTACTGCATGCATTTATTATTGCGATTTTTGAAAAATGGACAAAAATTGAGATTAATTATTTTGATTTCAGGAAAATCTGCATACAGATATAGGTATCAGTTCTTATTATTGCGATATTCACCGAGTCGCATTATTCACATTAATAAAAACCTCGCAATAATCTCTGAATTTGCAGTATCTATACATCATTTATTTGTTTCCATCAAACCTACCCAGAATCATCTTGCTTTTTCTTTTTTCCACCATGTTGTCTTGTAAATTTTAATGCTCTTTTTACTATTTCTAGTCTACATTCAACTTCCAGCTGAAAATATCAATGTTTCAAGTATTAAATGTGGATAAAGAAACCAACATGTCTCCTGATCATAATATACTAGTTAACAAAAGTAACGATTCACAAGTTTGAAGTCCAATTTTTCATAAAATATAATAAAAAGGAAAAACTGTTAAAATATCCAATGAAAAACATTCATTTGCAAAGCAAATACATATGATTAAAAGAATCTGACCAAATTGGAGAGTGAGAAAATACCCTGTTATTGCACATAGGGGAGGTCATATTTATTTTGGGGAAAATGATGACAAAAGTCGGCACTTCGAAGATGAGAATTAAGTATTCAAATATCTGCAAAGGCATTCAAAATTTTAAGCAGACCATGTTTAAGTTTAAAGTTTTAAGTTCTAATATCGATTTTTTGAATTTTTGGTTGAAAATACGATTTTTGAAATAACAAAAATTGCAAACAAAAAAAATTGGCATATTTGCCTTAAATTAATGGTTTTGATAAGAAAATAACACTCTGTAAATATTAGACCAATTGGGCAATTATTTACCTTGGTACAGTGTATCCAATTTCATTATATAAGGAAAATACATTACCATGTATCGTTTCTTTGGATGACTAGTATAGAAACAAGATATTGGTTGATGTGCATGAGAAAAAAATATCATGAAAAACTAGAAAGAGCCAATATATTAAAGGAAAAGAGCCTTCACTTAAAACTTGACTGTTCTGGAGTTCAAAAATTAGCTTAAGAGTTCATACTTTATAGCAAAATCAAGACTCAATATTTACAAAGAAAAAAACGATACTAATGTCAATTTAAAATTTTCTGACAAAATACATTATTTCCTCATGGATGCTTAAACCAGAGAATTGTTTATATTTGTATTTTTTTTTTTGTCTTGTAGGGTTCATTGACAGATATCATCACATCTCATTTTATATATATTTTAAGAATTTCAGACAAAAGACTCTGTTATGACATAAAAATATAATATTTTCATCAATGCAGTCAGACATTCTAAACGCTTTCATCTAAAGCATAACACATGCCTGAAAAATGCTGAAAAACAAAGTATTGTGAGCAACAATTCCTTGTAATTCAGATGATTTCCATTTAAAACTATGACCTACCTTTACCCTTGACTGTTCTGAGAAAACAACTTCATCAATAAAGTTGATGACATCAATTGGTAGTAACTTCTGTAATGATTCCCCACAACCTTCATATCTGTGTACCCAGGCAGCCTGAAATATACAGAATCCTAGAACTTAGGATATAGCAATGTTACATACTATTTACAATAATACACTGTGTACCCAGGCAGTCTGAAATAAACAGAATCATAGAACTTATGATGATTGATTAATTGATTGTGTTTAATGCCACTTTCAGCACTCTTGGCTATTGTGGCAGGGATTTTTTTTATTGATGGAGGAAGCAGATGTTCCCTGAGAGAACCATGACCTTCCTCAGGAAAACTGTCAATCCAATTCAATTAAGATTGGAGTCTAACGCACCTGTCACCTGCAGGGTTCTAACTCACAACCCTCAGTGTTGATAGGCTAGTGATACAGTAGATGAACTACTTAAACCACTTGGCCACCGAAGCCTCTCCTAGAAATTAAGATACAGCAATCTTATAACAATACACCATAATGAGGTCAAATATAACAGTATGTCTATTCAATGGACATTAGATGTGCAATATTTGATGCTACTAATGCAGATTTTTTCTTCAATTCCGCTGTCCACATCTTTAACTTAGAAATGTGTAATAGCTTGTTTCGAAGCCGTGACATTTTCACGGATTTAGTTAAATTTTCAGGGTATGAAGTGAGATTAAATTTTTCACAAATTGGGAAGCCCTGAAAGTTGATGCCCTTCAGCAAGTGAAAAGTCCCTATTTTCACACAGTTTAATTCTCTGGAAATTCAGTTCTTTACAAAGATTTAATAACTCCAAGTTATTTTACATTTGTGTACCACTTTTTATTTTTACAAACACTAATTATATGACACTTTAAAATAAAATTATATATCCAAAAATATTGTCTATGGGGTTTTTTAAATTGGGAAATAGTGTTAACTTTGACCTATAATGGTTTACTTTTATAAATTTTGATTTGGATGGAGAGTTGTCTCATTGGCACTCATATCACATCTTCTTATATCTATTTAACATTATTATCAGTACTTACTGTTGAATCTGGTATTTTCTTTGTATCTGTATTCCAGAATTGTTTGACAGCCCAAGCACAATGTACCACACTGGGATGTAAAAATCCACCAGTCTGAAAATTAAGACATTCCTTTTAGTAATCATTAGATAAAACCTATAAGTAGGAAATGAACTCTTTTAACATGTTATCTAAATCTGAAAGACTTATCATTGCTTAAAAAATCTTTTTTCTCCTTTTTATCTTAACCTGTACCATACTCCCAAGAATAGGTCCGGTAAGGGCCGATTTTGGCCTCAAATTTCAAGTTCAGCTTACGAAAGATTTTAGACACTTTTTAAACACTGAAGTGTCTATTTCAATTGACTCGATTAGTTTATGTGAAAGATTCTAACTGATTTAGTCATTAAAAAACGCGCCGATTCAAGCTTAAATATGAAAAATCTATCAAATATGCCAAAAAACGTCACTTTTCAGATGGTTTTTGTCAAAAATGAAAGTGGCCGCATCCGTGTTCATCCTCAACCTTTATATATATTATGTATTATCATCAAATGCAACTTACATTTCAATATTATGAATGAACACGAATGCGGCCACTTTCATTTAAGACGAAAACCGTCTAAAATTTAACTAAAATGCTAAAATTTTGAAGATTTCAGTAATTTAGCATGACTTAATGATGTTAGTACCCGATATATGTGCATTGTATTGTAAAAAACAGCCCATATATATGTAGCAGAAGCATTCTTCTTTACAATAAATAGCTTAAAGATTACATTTTAACAATTTTGTAAAACTGCTATATTTTGGGGCCAAAAAGGGGTCTTACTGAACCTACTCCTTTACCATTGACAGTGAGGTTAAGGGGAAAATTTACCATTGATAGTGAGGTTAAGGGGAAAATTTACCATTGACAGTGAGGTTAAGGGGAAAATTTACCATTGACAGTGAGGTTAAGGGGAAAATTTACCATTGATAGTGAGGTTAAGGGGAAAATTTACCATTGACAGTGAGGTTAAGGGGAAAATTTACCATTGACAGTGAGGTTAAGGGGAAAATTTACCATTGACAGTGAGGTTAAGGGGAATAGGTAATTCCCAATTCAGTTTTGAAAAAAAATTATAAAGGATGAATCTGAATGGCTTGTTTGAAAAATAATGAATATTAAAATATGACTTATTGTGCAGGAAATTATTAATAACCTCTTTGAGTATCAATTTGTCATCTAAGTGATTGCTGTGTCATTTGTTATATTGTTGGAGTGGGGTGGGGTCACTACATGAAAATTCATGTTCCATTATTGTTCGGAATGGTTGAATCCAAGTATTATCTTTGTCAGTTTAGCAGTGCTGTCATTACTTATACCAGCAATATATTATTTTCCAAAAAAGAAGCTGATATAAAATTATGAGGGTTATTGCAGGGAAATATAATGTACTGCATCCAGTATTTTGTTTTCCAGATTATAAATAAATATCATAGTGTTTTCCAATTTAGCTATAGCAGTCACGTATGCTGGGATGTAAATATAACTTACACCATCAGGTATTTTATTTGCCAATTTAGCAATGGCTGTCACATTGGTGGGGGTCAGTACAGGGATTATGTATTGGACTGGACTGCTTAAACCATTCATCAATTGTTTACAGTCCAAACCTACAAAATATAAAGATGTCTGCCATCAAAACATTTTACTTTTATTCTTATACGTTTTAAATCTTTATAAATAAGATGCATTTCAAAGTCTTTCTACCAAATACTGTGGAGTCATTTATTTTTATGGGTACTAATTTTCATAGATTGAAAAAAGATATTTTAGTGGATATTTGTTTTTGTGATTTTTGCAAAAAAATTATATCCAACTATATTCAATCTATACTTAGTTGAAAATTTAAATTCCTGATTTCACAATACCCACGAAATCAATGAAAATTGGTAACCCATGATAATAATAAACACACAATATACCATAGAGGGTTAATGTAATGGATCAGTACTATCGTACTTACCTACGGCAACACCTTTAAGTCTTTTCAGCAGCTTGAGATGATTGTCGGCTGTGATTCCTCCTTGTTTTATGTCACCCACTCCAGCCAGCAGAGTAAAGTAATAGATTAAAGTGGTATGATCTGTACCATCCAGGTTAGGGTAGATATTGGTCCTCATTCTTTCAGCAAAGTCTTCAGGCTGACTTACCAAGGTTGGAACAATATTCTTATTCTTCACTCTCGATTCTATTTCTTCGATGGCAAGACTGAAAATATCAAGCCGAGATTTTAAATATTTCATTTTTGTTTTGTAGCTTGTAGGGTACTCTACTTTTTGTATACAAATTGCTAATAGAAAGTAAAGTAAGAAAATTAATTCATCTTTACTGGTACAATGTCAATTCAGAAATTAAAGAAAGTATTAATTGCTCAGTCTTCACTTTTCTGTGTACCTTTTTATGGGCATGTTTTATTTCAACATGGATATTGATTGCTCTCATGGCTATAGTGTCATCAAGGTTTTTTCTAACCCTTTGGATTTTGATTTCCTCTTAAGAAACCTTCCCCTTATTTATTGCTAATTGCAGATGAAAATTATAAATTGGATATTTGAAAGTGTTTCGTAAACCATTTTGTGATTGGTCATTGTTAATGGAAATGAAACATTGACATTCTATTAATGTGATAAAAAAAAAGTAACGCTTTCACAATTATCAAATTATCAAAACATCTCAAACATTTCTGAATGTACTAATTGATATTTTTGAAAGAAAAAAAAAAAAAAAAAAAAAAATTTGAACTTGATCTGAGTTTTGTGGTAATAAGCATTGTGTATAAGTCTCATAACATTTGGTTGAGGCTAACTTAAGTAGAGAACAGAAACTTAAAATTCAGCAATTTTTCTATTTGTAAACACACATAACTCTAGAACGGTTGTGTATAAGTTTTATAACATTTGATTGAGACAAACTAAAGTTAGAGAACGGAAATGAAAAATTCAGCAATTTTTATGTTTATAAATTAAACATTGCATTGTATAAAGGTATAGAACCACTAATTCAGGCCCGGTCGGAAAGAACATACAAGAAAGTAGTACATATTTTAAACAAAATAGTTCCTACGCATAGCTGTATCTTTGTCAATAGTGGGAATATTTAGGTAGTTTTAGTATCAAATGAAAGCTTTGGGACTTGGGATCACTGTAGAACCCTAGTTGAAAGTTTTATTTGAATAATAAAGAAGTATATGAAATTTTGATAGGAGGGCTCATTTGGCCTGTTGTTCAGATCAGAAGTTCCTGTTTCTGTACTATCAAACTTCCAGGAACCAGTACGCTCTAATATGCAATTAAAGGTATGTTGATTTTTTCAGCACAAGTCAGCATAAGGTACAGTTTTGACATGAAATAACTGGCACTTAATTTGAACTTAAGACAAAGTAGCCATTTATGCTTGAAATTGCAGAATTTAACATAGAAAGCAATGGGCTATGAATTAGTGGTTTTATACCTATTACTGACAGGCATGTTAAATTCTATTTTTAGAAATCATACCCTTTACAGTGAAAATTGGTCACATTTGTTGTCAGAAATCATGTTACATTATTTTTTTTATGTAACAATTATGTTAGTGTCAAATTACAGCCCTCAAATTGCTACAATACGGTATTTTAGCCTTTTTTGGTCATTTAGCATGCACACAGTTAAGATTTTACCTGAAATTTAAATTTTTGGATTATCTAACACTGAAACCAATGAAACTTGTATATTATGACTAGTTTATAGTATAAATATTGTTTTTGGTCAAATTATCTAGTGAGTGTTCATGTTTTATTGTGTTTCTTGGTGAGTTATTTATTTCAAGGAAAATTGGTGTATACTTATTTAGGAATTCCAAAATCTCACTTGAAACGCATTTTATAACCATTTTAGCAAGTTGTCTATCTTGGAGATACATGAATTGCTCTTGTTGATCCATGTTTATACATAAAAGTATGTTTTTTTTACCAAATCACTATCCTTTTCCAACATGTAGAAAAAAGGGGGATAAAATTATCAATTATATTTTATGTTTGGACCACTGTATTTATATTCAAGGAAGAATCCCTGATAAAAATAAGACATATAGGTAAGAACACTGTTATTTGAGTAGATATTAACAAATCAGAACTGGTAAAAATTGAAAAAGTGTCATATCTGTCACTATTAGTATCCATATGTAGTTTTCTTTGTTTAACGCATATGTTACTACCAGTCCAATTTGAGCTTGAATTCAGTGATATATTGTTTTGACAAAAGCTTTATGTGTTTTTCTATGCTAGAAATAGATCATAGAAGGAAATTAAGTCAAGCAGAAGTCAATATAACAAGTTTGGTGCTGTTATAGGTATAGAACCACTAATTCAGGCCCGGTCGGAAAGAACATACAAGAAAGTAGTACATATTTTAAACAAAATAGTTCCTACGCATAGCTGTATCTTTGTCAATAGTGGGAATATTTAGGTAGTTTTAGTATCAAATGAAAGCTTTGGGACTTGGGATCACTGTAGAACTCTAGTTGAAAGTTTTATTTGAATAATAAAGAAGTATATGAAATTTTGATAGGAGGGCTCATTTGGCCTGTTGTTCAGATCAGAAGTTCCTGTTTCTGTACTATCAAACTTCCAGGAACCAGTACGCTCTAATATGCAATTAAAGGTATGTTGATTTTTTCAGCACAAGTCAGCATAAGGTACAGTTTTGACATGAAATAACTGGCACTTAATTTGAACTTAAGACAAAGTAGCCATTTATGCTTGAAATTGCAGAATTTAACATAGAAAGCAATGGGGCTATGAATTAGTGGTTTTATACCTAAAGCATTGAATGTAGTTGATTCAATTATAATCATGGACAAAGGAAGATAACTCCAATTTTAATAAAAATTACTTGATATTTAGAAGAAAATAAAAATTTTGCAATTTTTCCATTTATAAAGAGGCATAACTCTAGAACGGTTAAAGTGATGCCACCAAAATTCAAACTTGATCTGTGTTTTGTGATAATGAGTATTTTGTATAAGTTTCAAACCATTTGGTTGAGGCAAACTAAAGTTAGAGAATGGAAACAATAAATTCAGAAATTTTCCATTTGTAAAGGGGCATAACTCTAGAACGGTAAAAGTGACGCCACCAAAATTCAATTTTGATCTGTGTTTTGTGGTAATAAGCATTGTGTATAAGTTTCATAACATTTGGTTGAGGCAAACTAAAGTTAGAGAACGGAAACCAATTTTGGGAAGTACGTACATATAACGTACAGACGGACAAGGGTAAAACTTAACGGCGGGGGCATAAAAATCAGACAAACCTACTTACTTGCCTGTATATATCTGATATAGTTCCTGAACTTACCCACTTTCAAATAAGAACTCAAGATGTGACATGTAAAGCTCCCACAATGGTATATCATATCTTTCTGCCAGATTACAGGCTACATTATACATCTCATCATTAACACTCCTGTAATATACATATATGTTTATACTGGTGAAAAATAAATGTTTTTGTCTGCCAGATGTGTGTGGAAGCAAAATATTGACATTTAAATTTTATAACAGTAAATTTGAATAACTGTACTTAATCTTTTTTTATTTTTTCCAATTTATTTAGGTCAATTTCCAAATCTGACTCTGAATCTAAAATAAAAAATGATGGCAAAAAAATTATTGTAGAATGTCTGCAAAGATTTTTACACAGACAAATATTTGCTGAACAAGAATGTGTCCATAAAACACGGATACCCCACTCACGCTATCATTTTCTATGTTCAGTGGACCATGAAATTGGGGTAAAAACTCTAATTTGGCATTAAAATTAGAAAGATCATATCATAGGGAACATATGTACTAAGTTTCAAGTTGATTGGACTTCAACTTCATCAAAAACCACCTTGACCAAAAACTTTAACCCTGAAGCGGGACAGACGGACAGACAAACAGACAGATGCACAGACCGAAAAACATAATGCCCCTACTTGGGGCATAAAAATGTTTGAGTTATCTCCCTTTCAATAAGAATAGAAAGCAAAAAGTAAAAAAATGTTCACATGTACTTTTTTTCTGTTTTCAATCATGCTTAATAAAATTCACAGGAATCTACTTGTTTGCAGAAAATATCCTTTTAAAATCTTCCTAAGCTTGTAATATTCTAGAAATAAAGGTTATGGGTCTTCAATGTGGACCATATTTGTAACTTGAACAAAAGGACTGAAAAATAAAAAAAATCATTATTATGCAACAACATATGTCTATACTATCTTTTAAATTGCTGCATGAATCCATTAAACATAAAGAAAATATGATTTTGTAATACTACTTACATAGTCAAACCGAGTATGGTTTCTTTTTTATATTCTGGGTCATCAGTAAATCTCTGAATATCAACGCCTGAAATAATTCAATATTTAACAAGTTGTATTCTGCAAACATTAACACTATTGTTTGAAACTTTGTTTTAATATTATATATTCAGTTACTGTTTATAAGGAATCTATTAAACCAGTGATGAAGTCAAAATCATCCCTTCGAAAAAAAAAATTATGGACACCATCACAAGTTGATTTACCGTTATGGAATATCTGTTTCACAGATGACGACCGATATGTTCTAATTGTTGTAATCACAATCAAGTCCTCTTTTCCTCAAAAATGGCATACCAAACTAGACTTATCACCAGGTTTGCACTTACATGAGCAATACCAAAAGTGCCACATGTGGAGCAGGATCTGCATACCCTTCCAGAGCACTGAGGTTATCCACAGTATTTTGTGGGGTTTGTGTTGCTCAGTCTTTAGTTTTCTATGTTGTGTTTTGTAAACTGTTGTTTGTCTTTTGATTGTTTTTAGTTTTTTTCCATGGTAGTGTCAGTTTGTTTTCGACTAATGGGTTTGAATGCTCCTTTGGTATCTTTGACCTCTATTTTTGTACAGATACAGCTATTTTTTATTATTTTTCAATAGCTGCTTTCTCTTTTATGTATTTTAATGATGAAATGATCATATGTATCATGGTGAACTTGACAATAAAAAGTGCTAGAAAATTCATCATGGAGATGGAGTATATTTACCTTATAATTTAACAGATCAAGAAAAAACTAGAGGCTCTAAAGAGCCTGTGTCGCTCACCTTGGTCTATGTGCATATTAAACAAAGGACACAGATGGATTCATGACAAAATTGTGTTTTGGTGATGGTGATGTGTTTGTAGATCTTACTTTACTGAACATTCTTGCTCCTTACTATTATCTCTATCTATAATGAACTTGGCCCGGTAGTTACAGTGGAAAATATTTTGTAAAAACTTACAAAAATTTACAAAATTTATGAAAATTGTAAAAAATTGACTATAAAGGGCAATAACTCCTTAAGGGGTCAATTGACAATTTTGGTCATGTTGACTTATTTGTAGATCTTACTTTGCTGTACATTATTGCTGATTACAGTTTATCTCTATCTATAATAATATTCAAGATAATAACCAAAAGCTGCAAAATTTTCTTAAAATTACCAATTCAGGGGCAGCAACCCAACAATGTGTTGCCTGATTGGTCTGAAAATTTCAGGGCAGATAGATCTTGACCTAATGAACAATTTTATCCACATCAGATTTGCTCTAAATGCTTTGGTATCAGAGATATGAGCCAAAAACTGCATTTTACCCTATGTACTATTTTTTAGCCATGTCGGCCATCTTGGTTCACGGGCGGGGTCATTGGACACATTTTTTAAACAAGATACCCTAATGATGATTGTGGACAAGTTTGGTAAAATTTGTCTTAGTAGTTTCAGAGGAGAAGATTTTTGTAAAAGTTAACAAAAATTTACGAAAAATGGTTAAAAATTGACTATAAAGGGCAATAACTCCTTAAGGGGTCAACTGACCATTTTGGTCAAGTTGACTTATTTGTAGATCTTACTTTGCTGAACATTATTGCTGTTTACAGTTTATCTCTATCTATAATAATATTCAAGATAATAACCAAAAACGGCAAAATTTCCTTAAAATTACCAATTCAGGGGCAGCAACCCAACAACGTGTTTGTCCGATTCATCTGAAAATTTCAGGGCAGATAGATCTTGACCTGATAAATAATTATACCCCATGTCAGATTTGCTCTAAATGCTTTGGTTTCAGAGATATAAGCCAAAATCTACATTTTACCCCTATGTTCTATTTTTAGCCATGGCGGCCATCTTGGTTGGTTGGCCGGGTCACCTGACAAATTTTTTAAACTAGATACCCCAATGATGATTGTGGCCAAGTTTGGTTAAATTTGGCCTAGTAGTTTCAGAGGAGAAGATTTTTGTAAAAGTTAACGGACAACGACGACGACGGACAACAGACAACAGACGCCAAGTGATGAGAAAAGCTCACTTGGCCCTTTGGGCCAGGTGAGCTAAAAATGTATTTCATTTTTTTGTTTAAATTATCAATCAATTTAGCCAAATTTCATGTTGGATACAAAATAAACGAAGTCCATGATTCATTACACATTAGAAATCATAAGCCAATTATCTTTCAAATTCATGTGGTCAATTGGGAATAAGGGGATTCTTATCAAGCATTATATTCATTTATTATTCTATATTACCAGTCTTTGTAAGAATCAGGCAATTTAGTAAAATTTCAAAACATGGCCGAAAAAACCCACTGACCTAACTATCCTATGTTGAAGTTACCCTCATTCTGAGTTAGAAATGGTAGGTCTTTCATTTTTGCTTGTTTGGTAGTTCGAGAAATCTTTAGATAACTTTTGCTGAGAATGATAGCAAATTACGGAGTTAGATCCCCTTAATTGTTAACTTCTAGTACATTTCAACCAAATTATATCTTGAATTACTAGAAAAGGAAAAGGAAACGAAAGTTATATTCATACACCATTATACAATTTGAACATAAATTAATGTCAACTTGAGTGGGTTTTTGTTTGTCATGTTTTCACCGCTGCCTGATTCTATGGCAGATTGGCACTTAAACATACCACTTCCAATCCTAACTAAAGTCCTGGCTTGAATATAATCTTCAAAAGATTCATAACACTGCTTTAACTTTTCCACCAAGTCAAGGACATCCTGAGGCCAGTCAAGGTCATCTCTATTGGTAACAAAGTTAATAACTCTCTGTATCAGTTTGACAGGATCATGTCTGTACAGAGGACTGGGTTCTGGAATGGCTGTAGGTTTGACAGAGGCATATATTTGTAAGGCATAGTAATACAATGTCAACTGCTGGGTAATGGCTGTTTTAGGGAAATCATCAAAAAACTTCTCCACATCTGAAGTCTAAAGAAAAAATAATTCAAAGTATTAGTCTATTCTTCCTTTTGACTTTCATATCAGAATAGGAAATAAGTGTTTTTTTATTATATATTGTTTCATTGGGTTTTCCATATATTATTTTGTTTTATCATTTATTTAGTTATTTCAATTTATGCTTTTAAGTATTGTACTAAATTTGAAAACTATTCATACAACATATATTGTACAACCACAGTTAAATTTTTATCCTAGCAACTAACTTTGAAGTATAACATAAACTGGTTTCTGTCTAATTTTGAACATTCATAGTACATACAGATAGTATACCAGATTAATGAAGGAACCAACAAAAGCATACTGAAATTATAAGATACATACTAGAAAATTCTGACATCTTTTTCAGCTCCCACTGTGTTTTATTTTCAAAACTAGCAATTATTGTCTGCCATGATAATATTTTTTTTAGTAAATCTGAACCATAAATTGATAAAATTTACTCAATTAAAGTGCTGTTAAAATTCTGAAGTTCATTAAATATACTCCTGAGGAAAAAAATATTTAAACTTACCTCTGGTAATGCCAATAGATATGCTAAGCCTAGTGAACTATCTACTGGAAACTTTGTTTTGGCTAGCTCTAATAGAACTGAAATACGAGTGTTATAACAGTTTATATATATATTAGTACTTCTGCTTTTTCAAATGCTGCATTAGGATGAAGATTGCTATTACTTGATCATCACTTTCTGCATTTTTATATAATATAAAACAATTGCTATTTTCATATCAATACAGTTGTTTCTTTAAAACAAACTTATGAAAATTCAAAATTTACTCCAACCAGTATCATATATGTAGAGAAAGTTTAAGATCTTAACAACAGACATTCATATTGTCTCAAAAAAAAATTATTTGCAAAATGCAAAAAAAATCTAAATTTTAACTTTACATTTATCACTTACATTGCTTTTTAAAATTAGAATTTTTCCATGCAGTGGACATTTTATATGTTGACATTGTACAAAGTCAAACTTTTACTATTTTTCAAACTCTGTTTTTTTTTATGAATATAAATTGATATCCTAGTTTAAGGAAACATGATTTGCTTGTTATTTAAACCTAAAATACAATCTTCTCATTATCAGTTTACTAATAATTATACATATTTCATATGTAAATAAACAAAGATGTGGGGATAAACATCAATGATAATATTGTTCTCCTATTCAAGGTAGTGTACCTTCAGGTGATGACTGAGTAGTCTCCCCTTCTGTCAACATTTCCTCCAGTTTAGCTGTCCTTAGTATGCTTTCACTTAAAGCTGTGTGGCCACATTCAGATTTGCCCCTTGTATAATCTACAACAGCCTGAAAAAAATATACCAATGTATGTCAGATCTGCATAGTGTATGAATATTTATAAAAAAATACTTATTGAATATATAAAAAGATTTTAAAAATGTCTCTACAAACCAATCAATCAATATTGGGTAAGTACAAGAGGCTGAACTTCTCAAATATTGTTGTTTTTTGTGTGCATCATTTGACACTTACATAGAAAATACTTTACATAGAGAAGAGAAAATTTAATAGAAAACAATTCAAGTAGTGCTAAATCAAACCATCACCTCAAATATCTGAATTTTAAAGCTACACAGTTTTGAACTCCATGGGGGTAATAAATATAATATGAAAAGGCAAAGTCCATGTTTTTGTACAGGAAACTGCAGAAATCTTTCTTATCAAAAAGTAAAACAGGAGGTGCACAATGGCATTATGACATGAAGAATCTGCAAAAGTTTCTTTTATGATAAAACTAATACATTTGTGTATTATGTTGACACTGACTTTGGACCAAGTGCCCCAGAGAAGTGTATTGTGACTATTAAATAAATTGAAAGCATAACAAAATATTTAACTATGAGATTTACTGCAAGTTACATTGAATAGTTGATATTGTGACTCATCTGCATAATAAGCATGGGTCAATACTTAAATGGGAAATCACTACTTGTACTTAGGTTTCCTGAGCTTTTTAGATACTGTTATCTCAAGGTAAAATCTTTAAAATGCTTGTGTCAGCAGAAATCCATACTTGACCTGAAAAGTGTCATTTAACTAGTGTATACCAATTATCTATATATCTTTGGATTTTACCAGACGTTTAAATAATCAGCTAATCGAGTTATTCAAGCATATAAAAATGGCATTCTCTGGGCATATCTGTACAGGACGAATACCAAAAGTGGCATTTAACAAAAAATTCAGTGGAAATGTTTGGATTGTGAACTTTTAATGTGTACTTACTGTAAAAATATATAAGACATTTAAGATAAGAGATGTAAAGTAAGATCATAAAATCATGGACATTAAGGATGTTGGACTGCACAGTGAAAAAAAATGGATTTCTCTTATTTGAAAATTTGTATTAACAGTAAGAATATAAGACATGAGATATGACATGCAAGAGGATCATTAAATCATTGACATTAAAGAGGTTGGACTTCACAGGGAAGCATTGGATTTCTAATGTGAAAATTCAACAGCAGGCAGGACAGTTCTATTGCCTTAATTGTAATACATGTGATGATTTGGCCTGTCCAATATGTCAAGCGGATGTGCATACAAAATATAACTTAACTGAAATCCCTGGAGGATACATGTACAACTAACTGAAATCCCTGGAGGATACATGTACAACTAAAAGACAAGACAGACTGAAGAATGGAAAGAGACAAATGGAGAAAAATATAAGATACAAATATTAAAAAAAAAGAACTCTTTATGAACTAAAGCTTTCTTGAAAATCAAAATAAGGTAGAGTAAAAAAAGATATTCTAAGCCATGAGAAAGTATTAAAACTTGCAGTGGAGAAACATACAGCATAGCTGGTAAATGAAGGAAACCTGAATTGAATAAGTTTTGTGCAATACATTCAAGACAACATGAACATTTAAGAGTTAGTCAAATAAAAGACAAAAAACAAAGAAAAAAACTTTATTTCATAGGATATTTTCAGTAAAAGTAATTAAACAAACATTTATCATCATGCTCTCAAAACTTTCAGTGGCTAGAGTGTAATAAGGATGCTGTGTTGCAGAAAATAAATATGAGGAAAACAATCTAAAAACAATATCAAACTTTTTTGTTTATGAAATTGGCTTGAATATAATAATGATAATAAACAACATATTAGATATCAGACTTTACAGTTTTGCAAGTGAATCGTCTTTCAATCAACTGTGGCCGGAAATTTGATGCATACTTGACCCCAATTGCACTTTGATCAGATTTTGTTTTCATATTTCATCATTGGCAAAGTATTTGGACAGGGATGTCTATTTTTTACCCAGTCTGCTGTGGCATTTGCCAAACTGTTTATGTTTATTTTACTCTTCAAGGAGAAGCTTGATCATTTGTGTGCTTTATTAAATGTGTCTAATTTTACAAATGTCTTGATAGCGAAAACAATAATTGAATTAAATTCTAAATGTTTAGCTTTATGATCTCTATTGATATTTGGTGTAATTAAACAGATATATATCACGTTCAGTGTGGATTCTTTTGAAAATATCTTTCGAGAACATCCCTTTTACTAGTGGCTCAAGAAAGTTTACTTCTTTTGAATGGCATACTGGAATCTTCAAAAATACCCCTCTTGAACATACAGATTCATTATTATTTGTAGGATACTAATTTTCATGGATCTCACGGGTAAACAGGAACATTGAATTCATATGTTCAACTAATTACTGATTTTCTAATTTTCTATAGAAATGTATGCAGACTTTGGCAAAACCACAAATAAAAATAACCAGGAAAATGCAAGTTTTCCACAATCCATTAAAATTGGTATCCAAGAAAATAAATGAATCTACAGTATCTGTTCAATGTACACAACTGCCTTTTTAGTTACATGACATGGAAGCAAGCTCGCCTAAAGTGCTCAGAACAGTTTAGTTTGATAAAAAACGAATTACAATTGTGTCAGAATTTTGAATGAACTGCAACAGGTGGAGAGCAACACTTACAGTCAAGTCACAGTAAAAGCTTTTTAAATAAAGGTTCCTTTGATGTATCACAAAGTCTAACATTGAACACTGTACCTTGAAAATGAAATCAATGCAGTGTTCTAGAACACTAGCTGTCCTGTTGGTCTTAACTAAAAGTTTGTCGTGGTTTTATTATCCGTGTTTAGGCTGCACATAGCAAGTAAAGCTCCTGATGACAATGTATATCAATATTAGATATGGAACCATATCATTATTGTGCAAATTGGCCTAAATCATATTTATCTATGGAAATAATTAATTGCCAATATTTTCTGCAAATACAGGACTACCAGATTTGTAGTGTTGGTGGTCCTAATGACCACAAGGCTAAAAAACGATTACTGGGTAATTGTTTGAAAGTCTGATTTTGGATTGCCAGCCAGAGCAACAAACAAGTATGTGTTGGGTAGACAGAGGGGATCTTTGGGGATATATTATAGGAATTTGGGGTGAATGCTATGTATAAACAATATAATGATTGCAAAGCTCTTCTAACCTCTGAAATATGAAGATTTAAAAGATTTATTAATGTCACCATTGATGGATTCACAATCATTGCAAATCTACTAATTTTGTCCAATTCAAGAAAAAAATTAAATGAAGCCTTTCTAAATTGACCCTTACACAGTGTAAAAATGTTTTGGCAAAATGTCAACATAAAAACATTCTGGCAAAATGTCAACATTTCTAATGAGCAACATTAAAATGAAATTCCAAACATTTAAAAATGAAAGCTGCTTGCTTTTTAAAAAGCTTACATTTAAGTTAAAAATTTCTAGACTAATATGAACTAACAGCTTTCATTAGACTTTGGGAAAAAAGCCCCTTACCTGTAACAACAACAATAAAATGCTCCGCAGGGCGCAGCTTGATACGACCACAGAGGTCGAACCCTGAACAGTTGGTGCAAGTATGGATACAACATTCAAGCTTGATACAGCTCTGAATTTGGATTGTGATTAAATATTTGACACAGCATAGGTTTCTGACACAGAATGAATGTGGTCTAAGAACTTAAAAATTTTAAATTGGACATTCACCTATTATGGTCCAATATCCAAAATCTAAATACATGGTTTGATGAAATCAAACAAAGTTTAATTTTGGACCCTTTTGACCTCAATGTGGACAAAGTTGATAATGGAGCCCAAAAATCAAAAATCTAAATACATGGTTAGATTCAGCATATCAAAGAACCCCATATATTCAATTTTTGTTGAAATCAAACAAAGTTTAATTTTGGAGCCTGATTTGGACCAACTTGAAAACTGGGCCCATAATCAATAAAATGCTCCGCAGGGCGCAGTTTGATACGACCGCAGAGGTCGAAGCCTGAACAGTTGGGGCAAGTATGGACACAACATTCAAACTTGATACAGCTCTGAATTTGGATTGTGATTAAATATTTGACACAGCATAGGTTTCTGACACAGAATGAATGTGGTCTAAGAACTTAAAAATTTTAAATTGGACATTCACCTATTATGGTCCAATATCCAAAATCTAAATACATGGTTAGATTCAGCATATCAAAGAACCCCAAGAATTCAATTTTTGATGAAATCAAACAAAGTTTAATTTTGGACCCTTTTGACCTCAATGTGGACAAAGTTGATAACGGGGCCCAAAAATCAAAAATCTAAATACATGGTTAGATTCAGCATATCAAAGAACCCCATATATTCAATTTTTGTTGAAATCAAACAAAGTTTAATTTTGGACCCTTTTGACCCCGATTTGGACCAACTTGAAAACTGGGCCCATAATCAAAAATCTAAATACATGTTTAGATTCAGCATATCAAAGAACCTTAAACATTCAATTTTTGTTAAAAACAAACTAAGTTTAATTTTGGACCCTTTGGACCTTAATGTAGACCAATTTGAAAATGGAACCAAAAATTAAGAATCTAAATACACGGTTAGATTCGGAATATCAAAGAACCCCAATAATTCAATTTTTGATGAAATCAAACAAAGTTTAATTTTGGACCCTTTGGACCTCAATGTGGACCAATTTAAAAACGGGGCCCAAAATCCAAAAACTTAATACACAGTTAGAATCAGCATATAAAAGAACCCCAAGAATTCAAGAATAAAACCCCATTGAAATTGGTCAAGAAATAAGCAATTTATACGAAGTATCTTCTTTAGCACAATACTGTGCAATTGAATATTTCTTGCTATTGTGCAATACTGTACAATTGACAATTTCTTGCTATTGCGCAATATTGTGCTATTGGATATTTCTTGCTATTGCACAATACTGTGCAATTGAAGATTTCTTGCTATTGCGCAATACTGTGCAATTGAAGATTTCTTGCTATTGTGCAATACTGTGCAATTGAAAATTTCTTGCTATTGCACAATACTATGATATTATTACGTGAGTATTTCTGTATTGGCCTTGTTATTGGTCCGAGGCTTGCTGTATTGGCCTGAGGCGAAGCCGAAGGCCAATACAGCTGGCCGAGGACCAATAACAAGGCCAATACAGAAATACACGTAATAGTATCTTTATTAATTAACTACAGTGTTACAATATTTTTTTTATTTCATTTCACAAGAGATAAACATTTTTACTTTGAAGTGGAACTATCCAAATCTCAGTTTCTTTTTATAAGATGCTCTATCTAATGATCTGGTGTTGTTTTCAGGTGTCTTCAGCATTTTCTCATCTGATGAATTTTTCTACCCTTTCCAGTCACTATAAAGTGTTACAATTTAAATTTAGACACAACACATAAATAGTAATTGGAAAGGTACTGCCATTGCATGTGTTATGCAGAAACAAACTGAAAAAATAATGTAGGAGTTGAAAATGATACAACTATCCATAAACCAACTGACCAAAGAACGAAGATTTGCACAATTACAGGTCACCCTTCCAGAATGCATATGCCTGGTTCGGGTTTAAAAATAAATGACAGTTTACAAAACATGAGAAGCGAAAGTAAACAGTAAATCGATTTGTACCATCGTGAATTATGAGGTCGACAAGAAATGAACTTTGTGATAATCTACTCGTTTCCCAAACCTGAAATAATTCCATCGTCTGCTTTCAAAATGCTTTTTAAATGAATGTGACCGTCTTAAGCCTGAAATATATGCCTTACTCAACGTTTCAGCATGTTTATGGTGAGTAAATGAAAACTGCGTCTTCCAAACAACTGTTTACTTTCAGTTTGTGTTTATCGTGACTTTCGATCTAAAAACTAGAGACGTTCCGAAATCCTGTATTGGCCGGATCAGAACTCGGCCAATACAGAAAAAAATCTATATTGGCCGAGTTATTCTGTATTGGCCGAGTTGACACCTTTATATTGCATAGGCAGTTTTCATCATATTAAGTCCAATAACAGTGTAGTTAATTAATAATTATTATATAATAATTTACACATCCTGTTTGGTGTGTATCTCCTACCATATCATTATTATTTGCTTTTAAATATAAAACAGAAATAACCAACTTAAAATGGAAAATTTTAAAAGAAAAAAAAAGGGAAAAAAAAAAAAATCCCCCCCCCAAATTTTTTGAACCCCCTTATGATTCATCACCCCCAAACTCAATCCCAGCCTTCCCTTTGTGGTATGGTACCTTGCAGTACAATTTCAGAGAGATCCATACACTTGAACACAAGTTATTGTCTGGAAACTAGAAAAATGCTTATTTTTGGCCCCTTTTTGGCCCCTTATTCCTAAACGTTTTGGGCAATTACCCCCAAACTCAATTCCAGCTTTCCCTTTGTGATATGGAACCTTGTAGTACAATTTCAGAAAGATCCATACACTTACACACAAGTTATTATCATGAAACTAGAAAAATGCGTTTTTTGCCCCTTTTTTGGCCCCTAATTCCTAATATTTTGAGGCAATTACCCCCAAATCAATCCCAGCCTTCCCTGTGTGATATGGAACCTTGTGGTACAATTTCAGAGAGATCCATACACTTGAACACAAGTTATTGTCTGGAAACTAGAAAAATGCTTATTTTTGGCCCCTTTTTGGCCCCTTATTCCTAAACGTTTTGGGCAATTACCCCCAAACTCAATTCCAGCTTTCCCTTTGTGATATGGAACCTTGTAGTACAATTTCAGAAAGATCCATACACTTACACACAAGTTATTATCATGAAACTAGAAAAATGCGTTTTTTGCCCCTTTTTTGGCCCCTAATTCCTAATATTTTGAGGCAATTACCCCCAAATCAATCCCAGCCTTCCCTGTGTGATATGGAACCTTGTGGTACAATTTCAGAGAGATCCATACACTTGAACACAAGTTATTGTCTGGAAACTAGAAAAATGCTTATTTTTGGCCCCTTTTTGGCCCCTTATTCCTAAACGTTTTGGGCAATTACCCCCAAACTCAATTCCAGCTTTCCCTTTGTGATATGGAACCTTGTAGTACAATTTCAGAAGATCCATACACTTACATACAAGTTATTGTCATGAAACTAGAAAAATGCTTTTTTTTGGGCTCTTTTTTGGCCCCTAATTCCTAATATTTTGAGGCAATTACCCCCAAAATCAATCCCAGCATTCCCTGTGTGATATGGAACCTTGTGGTACAATGTCAGAGAGATCCATACACTAACACACAAGTTATGTCTGGAAGTTACAAAAATGCTTATTTTTGGCCCCTAATTCCTTAACTGTTGGTACCATAACCCCCAAAATCAATCCCAACCTTCCTTTTGTGGTAATGAACCTTATGGTAAAATTTCATAGAGATCCATTCACTTAAACTAAAGTTAGAGTGCGAAAACCAATGTGTCTTTGGACGACGCCGGACGACGACGACAACGCCAACGTCATACCAATATACGACAGCAAAAATTTTTTGCGGTCGTATAAAAACAAATACTAAAAATAAACTAGAGGCTCTAAAGAGCCTGTGTCGCTCACCTAGGTCTATGTGCATATTAAACAATGGACACACTTCAACATTGTAGAGTAGAATAAAATTCATGACAAAAATCTCTTTTTTGTTGATCTTGTATTGTTGATAATTTTTTATGTTTAGTTTCTGCTCAAAACACAAAAGACAGTAAAACAATCGTTATTTAAGGCCAATCACTCCTATAAAGAGTCTTCTAACTATATTAAAAAAATCTGACTTGTATGTAGATCTTGCCTTACTGATCATTTTTGTTATTCAAAGTTTCTGTATATCTTTAATGGTTTTCGAGATAATAGGCAAAAGTGCCAAAAATTGGTAAAAATCGTCATATAAGAGCAATAACTTCAATAACAAGTCAACTAAAGAATTCGGCTTTTATACTTATTTGTAGATCTTGCTTTGCTGATCAGTTTTGCTTTTTAAGTTAGAGCTCATCAACATTGTGAACATTTCTGCAATTGTCAGATTTTTTTCTATTTATAACGGTTTTCAAAATAATACGCAAAACTGGCATTTAACCTATGTTCTATTTTTAGCCATGTCATCCATCTAGGTTGGCAGGAGGGGGTCATTGGAAACATATTTTTTAACCAGATACCCTCAGGGCTCAAACTACTTCTGAATCATAGGGAGTAGTGACTTCTCCTTTTGAAACTGAGAGGGAGAAGTGGTGAATTTTGAAATTGAAGTGCTCATTCGCTCGCGGCGCTACAATGTTTGGTTTTTACTATAATACAAAGAGCCATATGTATCTTATTTTTTGTTATATTGTTCAATTTGTACCTGGGTATACAATTAAAGTAACATGGTAACAGTTCAAATTCAAAGTTGTTTAATTTTATCATATTTAGTTGCACAATCATATTAGTCCTCTTGTCAGAAAAAAACAATTAAATATCTGGCAATAATAAGAAAAAAAATATTTTTATATCAAAAAGGAAAAGAAAGTTGTTATATCAATTAAAATTCAATTAAAAACTACTCTGTTATCATGTTTATTAAATTAAGTATTTCTCATTAAAATGATATGTAAATTTGATAGTTTTATTTAACACAGATAAGCTTGGACATAATATAATTATATTAGTGTAATAGTCCCAGAGTTGAGCAACTTTAATTTATAAATTGAAACAATGCATATACATGGAAATATATACATTAATCAAGAAGATCTAACCAAAAGTATGTTAATGCTTGTGGAATGCGTAATTTTTCCTTTTGTGATCAATTTTCTTCTGTCAGCTGTACCATTCATGCGTCCGTAGTCGTTATCGCAAGAATCCGGTTTTCAGTCATAGCTGGTCCGTTTCCGATGAAATCCCGACTCAGATCTGTAGTTGAACAATAATTTACCCAAAAATTTAAATGGCGGACGAAGAAAAATTTACAAATATAAATGATGTTTGACATGCTATTTGGAAGGGAATATGACGTTTTTAATGCAATATAAGGATAACCAATTTATAATTACTTCAGGCAAATTTCATCAGTAACAAGCTTATTTTGCCGAAAGTTAGAATGATTTGATATACACAAGTACCGGAAGTGATAAAAAATTGTCTTTATGAAATTAACATGCAACCAACTTTAAAATCAATGCTTTAACCTCTTTTCTAAAGAAAATAAATCGTTTATGTCTTTGAATTTCTTTACTTTCAAATGAAAAATTGCTGTTTCATCGACTTGGTAAATGTTGAATATTGCTGATGACGAAAGCGACTGAAAGCAAGTATTGATAACAACAGGGCAACTAGATTTCGCTTTTGACGGTCGGGCAAAGCGAAGTGACGGACGGGAAAGCGACTTTGTCGCCCCAGTCGCCTGCTAGCGTGAGCCCTGACCCTAATGGTGATTGTCGCCAAATTTTGTTAAATTTGGCCCAGTGGTTTCAGAATAGAAAATTTTTGTAAAAGTTAACAGACGACAATGACAGATGATGGACACAATGTGATGAGAAAAGCTCACTAAAAGGACTTGTCCTAATGGATCTTTGCCTTAATTGTTTGGTCAAAGATTACAAAAATAAATTCCATAGCACAAAGTCCAAAAACTCTTTTACAGCAAAAGGACAAGTAATAAAAATCAAAAGAGAGCTCATATAAAATAACAATGTGATACAAAAAATTTGAACTTTTAGATAAAGCAGAATTGAGTAATAGTCATACAAGTGATAGAACATCCACGGTTTGATAACCATAACAGTAAATCTGTTACAACAAAAACCATACCGATAAAAAGAGTTGTTTACATGACACCTCACAATTTTATGAATCTTATTTGATACAAACTTGATTCTCCATAAACTATGGTTGAATGAAAAATCAATAAAATTAAGATCAAAAGGAATGAAAACTATGTTTCTCTGCAAAATGACATTATGACTTAAATATTGCCAAGATTTAAAACTTACATAATCAGGATGACTTGGTATGATAAATTCTTCATAAAATGGATGGCATCCTTGCTTCTCAAACTTGTCATTATCATAAATAACTGTCTCAGAAACTTGTCGTCTGGTCGGTTGTTTCAATGATTTAATTGTACTTTGCCACCATTTTGTATCTGCAACTGTTGACAACACAGCTTTTGTTGTCTTGGTTGTGGAGGACAGAATCTGTGTCGTATGCTGCAAAGCAGCCGTGGCTGACAATGGCGCCCTCTCTGATGATTTGTCATCTACTTCCATGTCAGTGTGAATAGTGCTGTATAACATCTACAAGTATTATCAGATATTAAAATAATTTATCAAATAGTATTTTTCTAGTCTTAGACAAGTATAATCTCACAATTTTCATATAAAATACTGTAAATTCACAAATTATTGTGGGGATTTTATTAATGCAAATAATGTGATTAGACCAGTATTGCAATAACAAGAACTCGCATTGTGATATTTTATACATATATCAATGAATGCAGATTTTTTGAAATCTCAATAATTAATCTTGCATTGTTGTCCATTCTTCACAAATCGCAATAATAAATGCATGCAATAATTTCTGAATTTACAGTACTGGGGATTCATTTATTTTCCTTCATACCAACAGTGTTCTCCCCAGGATTTTTGGATAACACCAGGGTAACACATGTGGACAGCTTGGTGAAATGATTCATACAATCAGATGTGTCGTGTCACGTCGCTAAGCTAAGCTATATTTCTAGTTGCTGCAGTATGTCTCTTGTTTTGTTTTAACACTGTGGTACTGTGTTATGTAGACATTGAGTCAGAAAATTATTGGTAAAAAAAGAAGTAAATCAATAAACAGTTTGTATACTTTAATATTTTTTTTAAATAAATAAAACATGATTCATTACAAAATATTCATCTAAATTTAAAGTAATCAAATCTTTTATAAAATCCATGGTCAATAAAAATAAAATATCATTCAAAGGAGACCAAAAATGTTCAATTTAAAAAAACAACTTTATAGTTTCTAGAAAGAAAGTTGTTGTATGTGAAAGGATTCTTGTCATAAGGAGATATAAAATAACAAGAACAAATATTGATTTATTGTTTGAACCAGTTTCTATCTTAAATTAAAAAGAAATTTTTCATTAATTTAAAAACATTTTGCCATAGATTTCATGTAAATATTAACCTTTCTTGTCTTTGGTGATAATCAAACATTGATACAGACTTAATACTGCACTGAAATCTAAATCTTTATTTGTCATGATCCATTTAAAAAGAATTCCTATATCTTAGGTCTATAAGTAGTATATTCAATGTCAACAACAAAGTCTCCCTATTTTTCTCGCCTAAATGACAGGAAGTAGATATAAATAGATTTAACATGTGCTTATGGATAAAATTTGCAAGATTACTTCTGTTATTAAATAATTGTGGATATAGATATCCAGTTTGAAGTTACAGTCATACATTTTATTTATTAAATAGAATAGATTGCAATTAATTGCAAATAAACTTTAATATTCTACGTGAACTAACTGGGTCATGTGATATGTACATATGTCCGTCCCCTTCACAGATACTATAGTTTGAAACCAGATATCATGCACTAACTATGTCATAATTAAAGAAAATTTTGGCCATGGTTTAATCAGACATATTATACTATACTAATAAGCCAACTTTATTATGTACAAAAAATGTACAGGCGTGTGTGCAACTATCAGGTTCACACTGTTTGTGTACAAAGTATTTGCAGACTTGTCACAGGTCAGCGCTTGGGTTGTGAGTGAAGCCATGAAATAGTTATCAGTGATCATAAAGATCATATCATAGGGAACATGTGTACTAAGTTTCAAGTTGATTGGACTTCAACTTCATCAAAAACTACCTTTACCAAAAAACTTCAACCTGAAGCTGGATGGATGGACGGACGGACGGACGAATGAAGGGGATGCACAGACCAGAAAACATAATGCCCCTACTACTATCGTAGGTGGGGCATAAAAAAACATTTTAAAGTAAACTATGTTAATCCTTGAAAATATTTTAAACACCTACATTTCTCCATTTTAAATCTCACAAAAATTATACACTATAGCTTAAATGTAAGAACTCTTTTACACTTCTACAGTATCAAATAGTAATATGATTCACTATCCTGAAATTCAAAAATGCACAAGTCTTTAGTTTTATTTTTTAAATGTCAAAACAGTAGCTGAGTAAATAAAATGCTCCGCTGGGCGCAGCTTGATACGACCGCAGAACTGAACAGTTGGGGCAAGTATGGACACAACATTCAAGCTTGATACAGCACTGAATTTGGATTGTGATTAAATATTTGACACAGCATAGGTTTCTGACATAGAATGAATGTGGTCTAAGAACTTAAATTTTTTTTAATTTACCTATTCAAACCATGTCATTATTATTTGCTCTTATATATAAATCAGAAATAACCAATTTAAAATGGAAAATTTTAAAGAAAAAAAAAGGAAAAAAATGGAAAAAAAATCCCTCCCCCAAATTTTTTGAACCCCCTTATGATTCATCACCCCCGAACTCAATCCCAGCCTTCCCTTTGTTGTATGGTACCTTGCAGTACAATTTCAGAGAGATCCATACACTTGAACACAAGTTATTGTCTGGAAACTAGAAAAATGCTTGTTTTCAGGCCCCTTTTTGGCCCCAAATTCCTAAACGTTTAGGGCAATTACCCCCAAACTCAAAAACAGCTTTCCATTTGTGATATGGAACCTTGTAGTACAATTTCATAAAGATCCATACACTTACACACAAGTTATTGTCCTGAAACAAGAAAAATGCTTGTTTTTTGCCCCTTTTTTGCCCCTAATTCCTAAAATTTGAGGCAATTACCCCCAAAATCAATCCCAGCCTTCCCTATGTGGTATGGTACCTTGCAGTACAATTTCAGAGAGATCCTTACACTTGAACACAAGTTATTGTCTGGAAACTAGAAAAATGCTTATTTTTGGCCCCTTTTTGGCCCCTTATTCCTAAACGTTTTGGGCAATTACCCCCAAACTCAATTCCAGCTTTCCCTTTGTGACATGGAACCTTGTAGTACAATTTCAGAAAGATCTATACACTTACACACAAGTAATTGTCATGAAATTAGAAAAATGCTTGTTTTTTGTCCCTTTTTTGGCCCCTAATTCCTAAAATTTTGAGGCAATTACCCCCAAAGTCAATCCCAGCATTCCCTTTGTGATATGGAACCTTGTGGTACAATGTCAGAGAGATCCATACATTAACACACAAGTTATGTCTGGAAGTTACAAAAAAGCTTATTTTTGGCCCCTAATTCCTTAACTGTTGGTTCCATAACCCCCAAAATCAATCCCAACCTTCCTTTTGTGGTATTGAATCTTATGGTAAAATTTCATAGAGATCCATTCACTTAAACTAAAGTTAGAGTGCAAAAACCAATGTGTCTTTGGACGACGACGACGACGACGTCATACCAATATACGACCGCAAAATTTTTTTGCGGTCATATAAAAATTGGTATGATTTATATTTCCTTTCCTCAAAAGAGATAATAAACTTATTATAATACCTGAGTTTCCAGAACAGCCTTGGCCTGTAGTATAGGTTCTATCATATCGGCTGGACAGTATGCTAATGAAAATGACAACAAATCTGCCCTACAAAGTAAAGCAAATTAAAACTTGTTTTTGGTAAAAAAAACTTTATTGAATAAGTTATTTTCAGTTTTCAAAGTTACAAAGGGCCATAATTCAAAATGCAAAGTCAAGTACTGTGGATTTTTTTATTTTCGTGGATACCAATTTTCATGGTTGAAGGAAAAATTTATTTTCGAGAATATTTGATTTCGTGGTTTTACAAAAGTCTGCATACAAGTCATTATAAAAATTTAACTTCCTCAACATTTTAATTTTTAGTCCACCTGTACCCAAGAAATCCACAAAAATTGGTGTCCAACGAATAATAATGAATCCACAGTAAATCTGCATGTACCTGTCCTAAGTCAGGAATCTGATTACAGTAGTTGTCGTCTCTTTATGTAGTTCATACGTGTTTCTCGTTTCTATATAGATTAGACCGTTGGTTTTTCCGTTTGAATGGTTTTACACTAGTAATTTTTTGGGGCCCTTTATAGCCTGCTGTTCGGTGTGAGCCAATGCTCCGTGTTGAAGGCCGTACCTTGACCTACAATGGTTTACTTTTATAAATTGTAACTTGGATGGAGAGTTATCTCATTGGCACTCATACCACATCTTCCTATATCTATGTAAATTTGACATGCATAATTGTTGATGTTGGCAACCAATTACAATCGGTTTTGTTTCAATTATGTCCATATGTGTTAGATGGACACGATGAAAACAATGTGAACATCCTCTCTGGAAAGTAAGAATATAAACTAAGATGAAATTCTACATGAAAATCTGCTTTTACATTATCTATGCATGGCACCACTTTTAATGACTTATATAAGAGTATAATCTCACTTGGCTGAAATATCTTTAAAATCTTCAAAGCTGGCTAGATCTACACAGACATCCCACACAGGACCAAACATTCTATCAATCAAATCCTGGCATACTTCATAGGCAAAAGTACAATCATGGGCCTGAAATTAAATGTAAAATGTACAGTAAAATGTTTTTAAGATTTGAAATTAAAGTTTGTGTCTAGATAGTTTCTGCAATGTATTGTTTTATGAGAGACTTTTTTTTCTTAAAAGAAACTTTAATGCTACATGAAATATCTTTCATCTAAACAGCTATTTAAGTGGATGTGTAAGCATGGTGATTTTTGGGCAGCGGTTACTTTTGCTTATTTTGTGAAAACATCATATAACAAAAAATATCCTGCTTGCAAATAGTGTGTAGAAATCAACAATTTTGATGTGACAGGCAAACTTATCATTATCATTTCAAAACATAAATTGAGTGATGATAGAAGTAATGTAGTCAAATATCTCCAGAAATAGGCTTTATAAATACCTTAACTGCACCTCTAGCAATCAAATGCAGAACTTTTCCTTCCCGTAAATTGGTGTTTCCTTTCTCAATTTTCAACAAATGACTTAACCGCATCAACTGAAAAGAATACAAATTTTAACATTATACTCCAGTACTTAGCAAATGATATAAATGATATGAAGATTTTCTGGATCTTTATAGTACAATGTTATTGTTATATATTTATCCTATAAAGAAATGTTAAAACCAGTTCTACATTTTTTATCAAAAGACAGCTTATGGAATCTTATTTCATTTTTTTTTTAATAATTTTTGGATGTTAATAATTGATAAACACATATGAATAATAAAAAGAGTCAATGAGTCAGCAATGCAACATCATATAACAAACACACAAGTAAACAAACAAAGATACATACAGTCGAAATTGAATCCTTTCTACTTAATCTTCTCTCATTAAAAGGATGTTGCTGCTACAGCACATTTCAGTGAAGCCCAATTCTAAATACTGTTTAATTCACTAACTATCTTTAAATATTGGATTAATTTGTGTGAGGGACCTTGGTGGTCGAGTTTATCTAAGTAGAGTAACAACTGTATCACTAGCCTGCCAACACTGAGGTAGTGAGTTTGAACCCTGCACATGGCAGATGCATTTGACTCCAATCTAAATTGACTAGGATTGTCAGTTTTCCTGCTGAAGGTCATGGTTCTCTTTGAGAACTTCAGTTTTCTCCACCAAAAAATAAAGCAGCCATGAAACAACCAATAGTGTTGAGAGTGGCATTAAAAACCCAATAACAATCAATAAATTTGTGCCAAAATAACTATTCCTTGTCATATGCGGCAGATTTTGTAGAGATACATGAATGCATCACTGTATACATACCTTTTTCTGTTGTTTGTATGATGTATCTCTGGTACTAAGAGCTTTTTCAATCAATTCTATTCTATCTTTAGTCTGTCTCACTACAAAAAATATAACAAAACCATTAAAAAAATTCAGTGTGATCACATTGTCATTGTATATTATCTGATTTATATAACAGAATTCAATTTAAAACAGATGCTCCATATTTTCAACATAAACTAGTTGTAAGTTACTGAATTGTTCAGAACTAATTAGTCATTTCAATATTAAAGTTTTTCTGTAAGTTGCCTACAAAACGATCTGGAGGATTATATATCTATAACCATATGCATTATTTGCTGAAATTTTCAAACTATTTGTCTACCAATTGTAGCCAGATGTACTCTTCAGAATCTTATTTTGATAGTTTCCTCCATATAATAAGCCTTGTTTTACTACGTTTTCTACTGGTATATCCTGTGTGGTAATTAGTATGTATATCATTGATAGTCCATAATCACATCAATTACCTTGTGCGGGTATAATTGATACACCAAAATCATCCAACATAGCAAGGGAGTTAATCAAATCCAGTTCTTCTTGTATCAAAGTAGGTGTGTCTCTTATCAAATTTAAACATACCCTGAAATACAAAATTTTTAGTTTTAGAAATATTCTTTTTCAAATACTGTGGATTCATTATAATTTTCGTGGCTTTCATGGGTACAAGTAAACAGGGAATTCAAATCTTTATCGCAGTACACATTTTCTATAGGCTTGTATGCAGACTTTTGTAAAACCACAAAATCAAATATCCACAAAAATACATTTTTTCCTTGAATCCATGAAAATTGGAATCCAAGAAAATAAATAAGTCCTTAGTATGCAAATCTTACTATGGTGGTTAAAAATTGAGATAGGCAATCTTTGAACTTAACTAGATAAATGTATTCAGTCCTCTCTACATACAAAATCTAATTGTCTCAATTGCTTTGTGTAATTTTAAAATTAGTCAAGTATTTCCAAGTCATCAATACCCTTTACATTTATAACAAATGGTTTTAACTGCAAAAACGTAAATAAAATTTTGCACTTTCTTTCAACTGGTCTGTTTGATTTAAAATTTAAAAAAAATGATGAAATAAAATAAATATATCCACCATATTTGAACTCTGGTGGATAGTTGACTCATTGGCAATCATACCACATTTCCTTATTTTTATATATATTTTGAAATAAAAACTAGGAGATCTAATTGAGTGAGAAAGAAATTTGAGTAACATATGAATAATTGTAAAAATCACCTGGCAAGATCTATACATGGATCCTTCATATCTGTAGAAGAATCAAAATACTCCTGGGCTGATGAAACCACTAGCTGTATGGCTCGTTTATATGACACCTTTAAATCCTTTGTGTAGGATTGAGTTGGAAGACTCTCATTATTGCTTCTTTCTATGTACTCTCCTGCTAAAGTTATGCTCTCTCTTCTCCCAGAACAGAGCAAGCTCTCAGTAAATATCTGAAAAAGAAGATGTTTTAAGACACAAATGTGTAGTCCACATAACTGTGTAAAAGCTTGAAAACTAGTGTTGAGAACCACCTGATAAAACCCATCTAAAGGCTAGATTTAAGAAACATGAACAGATTCAAATTCATATTTTTATACCAAACACTAGAAAGTCTCCTTTTGAAATCATATTATATTTACAAAAGATTTATCAAAAATTGTGCAGTACAACCTTACTTAAAACTATAACTATGCTTTAACTTTTTCATGATGGTAAACCAACAGCCATAATTTCTGCTTAATATCTTTGAAAAAAATACTTTAAATAATTGATGTTTTAACAAATATAAAAAAAGTAGAAAAATATATACAGTCAAACCTGTATTAAGCAGTCACTCTTGGGAAGTATCAAAAGTGACTGCTCAAGAGAGGTTACCTTTGAAACAAGGTTCTAAAAACTACCCATTATGACATCAGCCATGGCTGGGATCAGGTCAAATTGTTTTAGTGTTTTCAATTGGTAGTGTTATTGTACTTGTGAGCAGTGGAATAAAAAATGGCGGATCCTGGTAATGTAAATTTGAAGAAAAATTCGTAATGTTCGTATATGTATATAGTTAAAGTTCGTGAAGAAATAAGTCCCCGATACTGTTTTCGATGGAAACTGAAAAGTGTTGAAAAAAACGAATTCAAAATCTATTGCATGATCTTGGTTGCAAACGGGTTTCCAGTTTCATTTTGATTTCGATATTGACAACATTTAATTTTCGTCATAAAGATTTTTGGTACTTAACAACATTAAAATGATGATTTCATTCGCAGATAAGGTGACCGCTGAAACGAGTTAAATTATATAGAGAAAATGTCTGGGAGGGTTTGAAAGTGACCGTTAGAGACAGGTAACCGCTGAAATGAGGTGACCGTTAAGGCAGGTTTCACTGTATATCAATTATTCAATGACATAAGTTCATCCTCAAGAGACTACACCATAGACCTTATCGATATTTGGGACTTTGTGACACTTGACCTGAAAATTTGTGACACTTGAACTATTGGCATCATACAACAATCACTTTTCTTTTGTGGCATCAGACATTTCTCTTGTGACATCAAAATTTTAAGGGAAGGTTTGTGATGTCCAGTAATGGCAGACAAATGGGGATAAGGTGTATTCACATACCTCATGACACAGACCAGACGACAGACATCTGTAGACTTGATTTTGTAACTGTATGACATCATCATGTAATTTTCTCCATGCAATTTCTGATAAGGGTTCACTTCTGTCAATTATAAATTCAAACATGAAAATTCAGGAATACTACACAAACATGCTACTAACTATATGTGAAATGGAATTTTCAATTTAAGAATAAGCATTCATTTTGACTTAATGGAAACTAAGATTTGTTATTTCAAGTTTGAGGTCCTTTTGGTCTTATATTATATTTAAGTATTTATACATCCTTGTACAATTTCAGTGTATCTGATGGAGGTAAATTCAGAAAGTGTTTTAAACGCAGCAAATTTATAAAATATTATCGATGTCTGTTTTCTTAGAGCATAATGATATGATTGTTCCTCTTTTATTTTTAAGCAATGTGACATGCTATAAGAATTCTGAGTGTTATTATTTATTTCATGACTGATATTGCTAGACAAGCATATTAAAGATTATCACATACTGTCGATTCATTTATTTTTGTGGATTGAAGAAAAACTATATTTAAGTTGATACTTGATTTCGTGTTTTTGCAAAAGTTTGCATACAACGGAATCCTACGAAATATGTATGCTTAGTTGAACATTTAAATTGGTTGTTCATCTTTTCCAACGAAATCCATGAAAATTTTTCCAACGAATAATAATGAATCCACAGTACAGGGGCTCTTTTCACAAAAAATCTTACGAGTAAAAATAGTCATAAGTCATGAACATTTCAGTATAACTTAAGATAAATTTTAATCGTAAGATTTTTTGTGAAAAGAGTCGCAGTATTTTGTTTATTTTTTCAGGTAAAAGGATTACACCACTTATGCAAAAAATGAATCATTAACCCATTACACAGACATTATCTAACCTTTTGCCAGCAGCTCTTGTCAATCTTATCATTAACATCTTGGCATCTTCTGCATCTTTCTGTAATTAAAAAAAAAACATTTGGTAATCTTTGAACTTTTTACAAAATGAATGGACTGGCCAGACAAACAAAATTACTGGACTCAAGATTATATGAACAAAGTAAGAAAATTGCAAAAACTAAAATCGTAAGAAAACCAAAATTAAAGCTATGAGGAAAAAAGTAAGAACATGTACTCAACAGGGCTTCCAAAAAATATTTGAGCCAGCCGGACATTTTAATCCCTTAAGACTAAGTATCAAAAGGCAACTATGGTAATCAGTTGGCCATCATATAATCAATGATTGACATTAAAACGATATTAAATTTGATGTTCTCACATAAACTGTTAAATTGACAGTTCATCATTCGAAGTGTGCAACATCAGCATACTAATATCTACCTTAGACTCTTTATTTGTGCAAAATAACGTTGTCAAAAACTTTACTTTCGTTTTTAAAAAGCACATTTTCCTAATACCGGATGTTGACTTGACAATGGTAAAACACAGACCAGAGACGGATACATAAAAATCCGTGTACTTTAACAAAGCACAATTGAGTTTAAGTAGCGCTTTCCATGTTATTTCTTCAAGAAAATACTTGAAATGAAAGTTAGATAAAAGTATCAATGATAATTTTAGCATTTTTGAAGAATTAGGATGCATAATTAAATTTCCCACCTGCGCACACATGTACTAGTTCAAACAACATGGTTCTGATTTCATCAAATATTATTTATAAACATATTTCTGATAATTTCAATCTTTTTGACTAAATTAATTAGATGCAAAGCGCTGAAATGTAAGAAAATAACTTTGAATAGACCAATCAATGTCTGGTACAAAATAGTTTACCTGTCACCTGAACAGGTAAATTTCAGCTGTCCGACAACTTATTAACCTTGATAAAAAATGAGAAGGTATTAAAGTAGGGCTTGTTTTGAAAGTACTTATTCATCATGTCACTTTTATGACCGGAAATGTGTGGCTGTTTAAGGCAACAGGTCGGGTCAAAAAGATAGCATACACTTCCATTTTTTTTTTAATTATGTTAAAATGATCGTCTCTTAAGAAAGCCTTGAACACTAAAAGTAGATGACTGTTTCATGCTTTTCCCAGTCAGACAATGTCCGGAATATATGACCGTTTTGGAAGCCATGGTGCTCAATGGCATTTAAAGAAAAATGAAGAAGAAAGGGAGATAACTGGAGATACTACCAATATACTCTATAAAACTCAACGCATGTATGTGGAAGGTAGAGGAGAATTGCAAATAGTTAAAGAGGCAGGTAAGTTGAAATATTAAAGTGGTCTGCATAAATAAATATAACTTTAAAAAAGTTAATTAAACAAAATTCCAAACAACATATTTTAAACAAAGTTACACAATACCTCTGTTTCTAGGATATAATGTAGAGGTTTCTTCACATCCTGTTCATGTAATATCTTTAACGCACTGAAAAAACAAGATAAAAGATCACATGATAAAATTGAAAATGATTGGAAATAGTCTTTTTTTATATCAAAGTGAAAGAATATTTGCCCCTGAATGAAAAATGAAGGTAAAATGCTTAATTTCTGTTTGTTGTTAGTACAGAAAACATGTGAAATAATAACATTAAACAGATTGTCATACACAAAGTTTTTAACATGATATTAGTTGAATGAAGCTTATTTTTAACCATTTCATTATTTTCGAATTACTCTTTAAGCAATTCAATATATCTTTACATAATTTCATTAACATTTGAAGATGTGATCTGAACATCCAATTATGTTGTAGCATTTTCTTATAAAATAATCATTACAGTGTGAAGTAAAAGGCTTTAACGCACTGTGCTCAAAATTGATACAACAAAATGTCACAATACTATCGCTTTATACCATATCAATTCAATAAAATATAAACAGAATTCTATGATACTGATAACTTAGCAATATTTTTATTATAGTAGAAATTGCAATGGGATTGGTTTTGCAAAAATAAAATCAATTTTAAATTTGATAGCATTATTTAAATGCACGTTTTCCTGAAATCTCAATGATTATTTTGATTTTTCCATTGTTCAACACTCACAATCATAAACGCATGCAGAAATTTTTGAATTTTACATACAATAGGTCCCCTATTCTTCTTGTGGCTTTCTCATGAAATGACCTTTAACAATCACTTAATTCAATTCTCATGAAATGACCTTTAACAATCACTTAATTCAATTCTCATGAAATGACCTTTAACAATCACTTAATTCAATTCTCATGAAATGACCTTTAACAATCACTTAATTCAATTCTCATGAAATGACCTTTAACAATCACTTAATTCAATTCTCATGAAATGACCTTTAACAATCACTTAATTCAATTAAATGATTAAAACTGCATAGGTCTATGCAATTGACACCACATTCTAGTTCTTATATGAAAAGATGATAAAGTACTTTAAAAAAAGTTAAAAACAGAAAATTTTACTGTATTTAAATAAAAATTACCCTAGATGTCTTTCTAGCTTGTCTATTTCCTTGTGCAGTCTAAGTGATTCTTTTGTTTCTTTCCTGTTAAAACATTTTCAGCATAAGGAATCAAAATATAAATAGTAAATAAGTTACAAAAAATAATTTTAAAAAACAACTGACACCAACATCTAGTCAAGATTTCAAAGTACCTTCCCTGTGTCTCCTAAAACTGTGATGGAATGTTCATCATCAGTCAGTCACAACAAGAAAATATTTAGGTGAGTGCAGAGAACACCCTTTCTTAGTTCAACTGTTATATCTATCTTTTGCAAGGTCTTAAACTGTAGTATTTGTCTTTATATATATGTGTACGTGCAATTAGTATATCTCGCTACACATCCTATAAAACCAATGAAGGATGTATAATGAATACTATGTCTATTGTCGTGAACACTCATATAATATTTTTGTCTACGGCTGCTTAATCATTGTTTGACTTCAATGAAACTTACAAGAATCTTCTTTGCATTGTAAAAATATCTAAAACAAAAAATTGTTGTCACATTGCCATTCTAGTTATCTTACCCATATCCTTTCTGTGGAAGGCACTGGAAAATTTCCAAAGCTAAGTCCAGCTGATCATCCCTACAAAATAATATGACCGGACAATTTAACATTAGATGAATGGGAAATGGTTTTGTGCAGGAGAAAACTATGCAATTAACCGAATTATGCTATTAAGCGGTATGCAATTAAGTGGAGTCGACTGTAATAATACTTTGTTCATTTACAGGGGTATTTTTGTTTTTATTTCAAACAGAATTGTTTATTTTTGTATATAAGATCGTCTGTTTTATACTTCATTATATTTTTCCAAGGTTAGTTGCTTACTTCAATGTAGCTGTAAGACCGATTCATTTTGAATAAATCAATGAATATGTATCAATTCATTTAAAATATATTGGCAATATACAGAATTTTAAAATTATATAAAACAAGATAAGTATACAGCATACCTGCCACAAACATATAGAGCTTCTAGGGCCATGGACATGACATCATCCTGACTTGATATTATAGGCCTTTTTTGCTGAAACCAACAAAAACCGCATGTTTACATAAGGAGTAGGTCCGGTAAGGGCTGATTTTGGCCTCAAATTTCAGATTCATCTGATGAAAGATTTTGGACACTTTTTAAACACTTGAGTATCTACTTCAGTCGATTCAATTAGTTTATGTGAAAGGTTTGAACTGATTTAGTCATTAAAGACGCTAAAATTCAAGCTTAGATATGAAAAATCTATCAAATATGCCAAATTATGTCACTTTTCAGATGGTTTTTTGTCAACAAGAGGCTCTCAAGAGCCTGAATCGCTCACCTGTATTTCAGAGGAGAAGATTTTTAAATGTTAGCAAACTTGATGAACAAATTGTGTAAAATTGTCTTTAAAGGCCAATAACACCTTAAGGGGTCAATTGACAATTTTGGTCATATTAACTTTTTTGTAGATCTTACTTTGCTGAACATTATTGCTGCTTACAGTTTATATATATCTATAATAATATTCAAAATAATAACAAAAAACTGCAAAATTTTGTTAAAACTACCAATTCGGTGGCAGCAACCCATCAATGGGTTTGTTCGATTCGTCTTAAAATTTCAGAGCTGATAGATCTTGACCAATTAAACAATTTTACCCCCATGTCACATTTGCTCTAAAAGATTTAGTTTTTGAGATATAAGCCAAAAACTGCATTTGACCCTTAAGTTCTATTTTTAGCCATGGCAGCCATGTTTGTCGATGGATACAAACTTCGGATACAATTTATAAACAAGATACCCTAAGGAACATTTAGTTGAAGTTTGAAGGTAATTGGCCCAGTAGTTTCAGAGGAGAAGATTTTTAAATGTAAGCAAACTTGATGAACAAATTGTGTAAAATTGTCTTTAAAGGGCAATAACTCCTTAAGGGGTCAATTGACAATTATGGTCATATTAACTTTTTTGTAGATCTTACTTTGCTGAACATTATTGCTGCTTACAGTTTATATATATATCTATAATAATTTTCAAAAAAAATAACAAAAAACTGCAAAATTTTGTTAAAACTACCAATTCGGTGGCAGCAACCCAACAATGGGTTGTTCGATTCGTCTGAAAATTTCAGAGCTGATAGATCTTGACCAATTGACTAATTTTACACCACGTCACATTTGCTCTAAAAGATTTAGTTTTTGAGATATAAGCCAAAAACTGCATTTGACCCTTAAGTTCTATTTTTAGCCATGGCAGCCATGTTTGTCGATGGATACAAACTTCGGATACAATTTATGAACAAGATACCCTAAGGAACATTTAGTTAAAGTTTGAAGGTAATTGGCCCAGTAGTTTCAGAGGAGAAGATTTTTAAATGTAAGCAAACTTGATGAACAAATTGTGTAAAATTGTCTTTAAAGGGCAATAACACCTTAAGGGGTCAATTGACAATTTTGGTCATATTAACTTTTTTGTAGATCTTACTTTGCTGAACATTATTGCTGCTTACAGTTTATATATATATCTATAATAATTTTCAAAATAATAACAAAAAACTGCAAAATTTTGTTAAAACTACCAATTCGGTGGCAGCAACCCAACAATGGGTTGTTCAATTCATCTGAAAATTTCAGAGCTGATAGATCTTGACCAATTGACCAATTTTACACCACGTCACATTTGCTCTAAAAGATTTAGTTTTTGAGATATAAGCCAAAAACTGCATTTGACCCCTATGTTCTATTTTTAGCTATGGCCGCCATGTTTGTCGATGGATCAAAACTTGGGATACAATTTAAAAACTAGATACCCTAAGGAACATTTAGTTAAAGTTTGAAGGTATTTGGCCCAGTAGTTTCAGAGGAGAAGATTTTTGAAATAGTTTACGACGACAGACAACGACAGACGACAACAGACGCCAAGTGATGGCATAAACTCACATGGGGCCCTTCGGGCCCTGGTGAGCTAAAAATGAAAGTGGCTGCATCCGTGTTCACTCTCAACCTTTATATATGTTATGTATTATCATCAAATACACATTACATTTAAATATTAAGAATGAAGACAAATGCAGCCACTTCGATTTAAGACGGAAACCGTCTAAAATTTAACTCAATTGCTAAAATTGTAAAGATTTCAGTAATTTAGCATGACTTAATGTTGCTAGTACCCGATATATGTGCATTGTATTGTCAAAAACAGCACATATTTATGTAACAGAAGTTTCCTACTTTCCAATAAATAGCTAAAAGTTTACATTTTAACAATTTTGTAAAACTGCTATATTTTGGGGCCAAAAAGGGGTCTTACTGGACCTACTCCTTTATCGCAAATGAGTAAAATTTGCAAATGCAACGAAAACAAGGAACAAAAATAATACATGTATATGCAACTTAAAAATCACCATGCAATGATATTGGGCTGTGATGCAATTTTTAATAAATGACTGAGGATAACCATTTGTGTTTTTTGAAGAGCAGAAGACCACACAATAAAAATATTAAAACTTTGCATTTATTGAATGTTTGTGAAGAACTGAATTTCCAATGAATTTAACGGTGAGAAAATAGGGTTTTTTACTTGATGAAGCCAGATCACATGATGCCTTTCAGGCTTCTAAATTTGTGAAAAAACTACACTTTGTAACCAGAAAGTTGAACCAAATTTGTGAAAATGTTTCAGCTTTGAAATGAGTCATCGTAAATATCCAAGTTTACGATATGGACATAGGAATGGAGAAAAGGCTACCACTATTACCTATATGAAATGAATTGCACATATTGACCCAAAAACACAAACAAACTATAAATACATTTCTCTTTGGTATAAATGAGTGTTACAGTGTATGATGAAAAAACAATAATATAAATAATCTTTCCATCATTGTAGCTGGGCATAAACATTTTGTGATCCAAATCATCCAATGTAAAAGATTATTTATTGCGAAGGCAATCAAACCTGAATGATTGGTTTTTCAAGCAGAAATTTAAAGATCCTATTTAATGGTTCCTATTTAATGAACTCCACAGAGAACAATAGCTATTGTATATATTCAATGGGACAGGACACTTTGCAAAACTTCAAATGGACAGGTAAACTCCAACTGATATTGGGGAAAGGTTTCATTGCCTTCGCAATAATTACTTAAAATTTTCAATTCAATCATAATAATGTTTAACTCTTATTTCAGAATTACTTCACAAAGAATACTCACAGTTGCTTTAGATGCTTCAAATATTTTTGTGGGTAATGTAAGATCTGTCTTAGCTTTTGTGACAATGTAATCTCTAAGTAATGAAGTAAAGGTCCCTGGCTGTCTGTGTTCACACTGCTGAAGGAAAGGTACCAACCATTTGTGGAGACACTTTGTGTACATTTCTGTTGATGCCTGAATAAAAATTTATTACAAATACAGTCTGTTATAGAGTACTGAATTAATTTTTTGCCTGAGTTATCTTTAAACAGTTTATCAGATCTATGCCCTGATCAGCATTGTAATGCAATTGTATGTAAGCAAATCATATTTGTAATTTCTAACCATAACATTTAGGCTTGCATACTTTATTTTTTCAGCAGATTTTATCATTTCAAAAAGATTATTTTACAATTTTTTACATTTTTTTACCATTTTCAAAACCATAGTGACGTCAGGTGCTCTTTCTCACAAAAACACTTATAACAAAAATATTGCAAGTTATACTGAAATGTTCATGACTTACAAGCATTTTTCTCTTAAGATTTTTTGTGAAATGAGTTGCAGATTTTTTATTTAAAAAAAATTAGATTGGACAGATATGTAGAAGTCAGAATTTTTTTGTGCAACAGCATACACATTACTTTTATCAGTGAAACTAAGACATACCTTGGACATAATTAGTTCCAATTTATCATAATCAGCCATCTTTTGTAGTTCATCAAAGGTCAGATTTTCATCCACATAACAGTCATACACTAGCATCTCCATGGTAACCAAGTTATCAAGCAGTTCAGATAAACCCTGAAAAATTAGTATTCACATTATTATCTATTCAAATCATACATCTATATTTTAATTCTTTTAAATATGGTATTACTGTTTCTATATAAGGCTTGTCATCTAATGTTTTTCTAGTATTCAAATACATCAAGCTCCTAACCATAATACATACTGTAAACTTATTTATTTTTGCGAATGCTTTTTTTCTCACTTTTATCTCTTTTAAGACAATTTCGTGATGATTTACATGTAAAATTTTTAACTTGTATTCATAAAAGGAAAAGATCCAAGTTTGACATATTCACAACCAATTATATTCATGTTACTTTTCTTATCATGAAAATTGCATCAATAAATGGCTAGTGAATATAAGTTGGTATACAGATTATGTAAAGGTCTTTTTATTTAGGTCTACAAAAACTATATCCTGAAAAGTTGGACCCACCTCAACTCCTCTCTCAGTGGCCAGTTTGACCAACTCTACAGATAAGTCTACTTGTCGTGATAACCTCTCGATCTCACAGGCTCTGAAACTGTACCACTTAGATAGATCTTCAGTGTTTGGATTGGCCATTCTACAGCAAAAAAAATATGTAAAAATGATTATTACCTTGAATATTCAATTGTAACAGTCTTTAAATTCAGAATTGCAGGCATTTAAAAACAGAGATTAATTATTGTGATATCAGGAAATGCTGCATACAAATAATGCTATCAAAATTTAAAATGGGAGTTTTAATTTTTTTTTGACAGCTATCTCTTCGCAATTTTTACAATAATAAAAAAAATCCCCAAAATTTCTAAATTTACAGTAATTATAGAATAACTAATCCAAGAATTCAAATAAAGAAAAAAAATCAACAAGTGACTGAACAACAAATTAATTCACAAATATGAGAAAAATTTATAAATTTACACACAAATATATGCACAAAAACCAACAGACAAAACACTTTAAAAAGTTCTGTGGTATGACAATAACGTCAAAAAGACTAATTAAAAACTACTTCCGCTTAAATATAATTTTTAAAGTTTACTCATATCAAGAACCAAACATTTGGCTAGTGTAAAAAATCATTATACAAACCTGAAATCTTTAAGGCCTGGATTTTCCTCATATAAGAAACCTCCAAGATCTGGTAAAACTGGTTCTATTATAGATCTGAAATGAATAAGTGTTAAATTGAATTATATAACCATTTGATCAATAACTCCCTCTGTTTAATATGTTCAATACTGTTTTGCTATTTATAATTATGAAACAAAGCTGCAATGTTTCACTGAACACAATACTTTGAAATGAAAGATATGCTATAAAGGTTGTCATTGAAACAAAAGACTGACTATTAGACTGACAATGAAATTAAAAATGTGCTTTCAAACTTTACAATGAAATGAAGTGCTAAGTTGGGATAGTTAAGACTGCTATGAATGAAAGTTCAGTTACAAGTTATAATTTCAAAATATGTGCTTTTGTTGTAGTAGACAAATATATAACAAAGTTGAAAGTTTCATTGTAATTATTTGAGATTTGAGGCTAAATGAAGAGTCACAGACTTGAGTGTCATGATGTCACAGGACACAGATCTGAGGAAAGGACACAGATTTGAGGCCGGACATAGATGTGACTCTTACATATATAATTCAAAATAATATACAAATAAAACATCAATAAATAATATTTAAATCTTTTAAATCAACATATAAACCTTAAATTCAATCCCTTATTCATAATCAACTATACTTTTATCATGTCTCAAACCATTTTTTGGATGTTTTACCTGCAAAAATCTTCCTCACTCCAATCTTTTTCTCTCCATCTGTCTTCTTCCCAAGGAATAACTGACTTATCATTCCTGTAACATAAAAATGACCAATTTGACTGAACATGTGTCTGATGCCATATTTTTCCAAGATCAAATATTTAGTGGTTTTGGAAGTTTGGATTGGTCCAAATGAACTTTTAATAGTTATGGAAACCAAAATGTACAAACATTTAATGAATTGGTTCAGACATTTAAGATCTATTAAAGATGAATGTTATTCCTTATTCTTTATTTTTCAATATAAAGTAAGTCAATTCTTTCTTCAGAAAAAATTGTCTAGACAAAAAAAATCTGTTCTCAAATTTCTGATAATTCTGTAAAAAGTACTCTTTCAGTTAACACTATTCACAAATGTTCCAGTTTGGCAAACATTCAATATTTCCAGTACAATATCATATACTAATTATCAAAATTGGATTCTTAATTCCTGATTATTTTGGATCTGTTGATTTTGTGATTTTACAGGGAAGATTTCTTTAAAAGGACAATATTATCTTACTAGCAAAATTTAAAAATTATTTAAATGAAACTTATATTTGAACAAAACTTCTAGACCTTTAGTCTTGCTTCTAGAATATCCCTTTGTATTAATTAACAACTTTCTATTGAAAATAATGAATCTTAATAATGCAGAAGGAAATCTCTTGAAACAAACTTTTATTCACTTACCCAACTTCTGGTAGCAGTGACCTATATTCATGTGGATTTGTTGTTTCTGGAAAATTAGACAATATCCCTAACCTGAAATATTGCAATATTGAAATGAAATGTTTTTTAATGAGCTTATTTACAGCAAAAACATTTTATGTGATATTCTAAATTCCTTGCAAGTTGTCAGTTGTTTGTGTAAGAGGTTTTGTTAGCTAATAAAATCAAAATGACAAGAGTAAAGAAGCTTGATTAATGTAACTATGCCGTAAATTTACCTCAGTTTCGTCCAAGTAATTTAGATTTCAGAACTTTAAATTTTTAAAAATTCAAGCTTTTGACATATTCCCAAAAGAATTTACCATTTGCTAGAAAACTGGATAAAAAGAAGGGTTTATGATGCAACTCATACAGTATGAACATGATTTTTAATCAAATTTAGTGTCATAATTCGTTTCCTCTTTAAAATAATAATCTATTTAAATCTTTTTAAAAAATAAGAATCTTAGGAATCATTTTGCATATAACTATCATAAGGACTCCTAATGAAACTATGACTTACAAACAACTATTGAACTTAATAAATTCTTATTGTGCAAATGCATGAAAAAAGAAGCATATTTGAACACTCTGGTGACATATATGAACAAATAAACAAGACAGATGCAAACCAACCATCTAACTACTTGTTCTATATAATGGATAAAAAAAAAATATATTAAGAGTATAAACAAAGTAACTATAAACAAAGTAATTCTAAATAAGCTTTTGACAATTACCTGTGAGGTCTTAGATCTTCCCAGTGAAAGGTGAACAGAGTTTCTAAAGCTTCTATATCATTATCCTGTAAATTAAAATTTTGCATAAAACTAAACATAATCAAAATATTAGAATTAACATATAACATATTTTGTTTGTTTCATAATATCACTTCACATTTTATGAATTTTATATTTCTAGTACGCTCAATCCATGCAATAGGTTAATTCAGTTAGGAATTACCCTATCTATATTACAGTTGCACAGCTTTCAATGACACTAAAATTTCAGCAAGAGGATTAAACATTTAAAAAAATCTGTAAAATTAAAGAACAATCTGTTGAATTTAATTTCAAAACTACACAATTTTTAACCAGTGTGCAATATTGATTTCACAAACAAAATACCAAACCAAGACCATGTTTATAAGGCCTAAAATAAAATTTCATTTGTTTGGCATTGCCGCCCACCCACTGAAAAACTTGCCGCCTAAATAATGTTATTTGCGTTTCAGAATTTTATTTTTTTTTGTATTAAAAAAATCGGAATAATGCCAGAATTTTCATCGTATCCTCATAGTTTGTTCCGGGCTTTACTTATTTCAAATCAAGATCGTAAAAGTTCTTGCTGTACACTGTGTTGAGAGCGAACGTTTAAATGACATAGAATAAAAGTAGATAATGTCAAAGGGTGCTATAAGCTATAAAAAACTAGGGGTTATTCCCCGACTAAAAATAAACATGGAGGGAAATCCCTTTTTATTCATATAATTGGTGAAAAAGTATCATGTTTTTTGTATTTGATTGTATAAATTAGTTAATTAGCTTTCAATTTAAACAGGTTAAATGATTAAAATAATTTTAAAAATTAGATTAAATATACATGTTTTGAGGGGAGACAACACTGTAAACATCCTGTTGTTTTGGCAGTGAAAATTGAAAACTTATTTGCAGCCACTGTAGCTCTTTTCGAAGCAGGAAACCGTACCCTGAAACATGATTTTTATTAAAGGCCAGGTAAAAACCTATGAATTTCATACAGTTTTGATTATGGGAAATGTGCCTGTATCATGTTTACATGGGTATGCACATGAGCTGATTTCAGGTTTTTTATGTTCAGATTAGGCAACTTTTTCCCTATTTTCTCTGGATAGAACTTTTTTACTATACTAAAAGTACACTATATTTTTATTTCAATATAAACTAGAGACAATTCTGATTCCAGTGATATCTAGTTTTATACAAGTATCTTTATTAACCATTCCACCACTAAGGGTCACTTAGTCATGGTCCCTTAAAATATGACGTCATAGAAAAAAACTGTTGATTGCACCCAAAGAGGCTGGCAGTGGAGGAAAGCCTATCTTGTTTAAAGAAATGAGTCCTACCTAATCCAAATATCTCAATACAATCCCCAAGATATAATTCTCTCTTTCTTGTAACAGTATATTTATCCAGTGAATTATAATAAAATATCATTATTTTTTTGCTTTTAATAAATATCTTATATATTTCTTCTTCCAACTTTTTTAACAGACATGTGATTCTTCCGGCAGCAGTCAAAATCTCCCGATTTTCAAGCCCTCTTCTGTCCCTCCTGTTAAAAATTCAAATCTTTCGTTTTTTGAAAATTTCAATACCAAAAATTTGTCAGTCTCCGTTTGTTATTATCAATGATTTCAATCTCTAATATCGATTTTGTAACACTGATGAAGGCAATGTTTACCTGTAAATCATAGAACTTGGATAATTTTATCATATGGTGTCACTTGACAGCTAGGGTGTCAAACATGCAATAAATCAACGCATTTTACCTCGGGCTTACCGCCGTTATGGAAACAATGATTTGTGTATTAGAAAAACACTTGATATAAAATTTGAGTAACTTCCCTTGATTAATAATACTTTTCAAGTTATCCTCCTAAAAATAATGTAAATAGGTACAAAATATAAATGAAATTTAAATTAAACGTAGAATGGTATAAAAATGGTAATTCCATAATTTTAACTTTTTTAGGAAAAATAAAAAATTGATAATAATTTGAGCGATCTATACTTTTTTCAATGCTTAACCCTTTCCCTTTCAGGCATTTTAGACCTTTACTTATCGAAAAGACACTATCAAAGTTCAATTGAATACTGCATTCGCACCAATGGTCATGCACATGCCATGTTGGGCTCATATGAAAGATAATTGGTCAAATATTTCAGAAAATTACGTTTAAAGATAATTCGTCCTTTTTTGGTCACGTGGGATGTTTCGAAAAGTCATGTGACTTTTGGAGAAAATGTGGAAAAATACGAAATCCTTGGGACAAAAGTCGTGTAGAGACATATTGTTGCGCTAATAGGGTAAGGTTTTGGTGGAAACACAATGCCCCAAGTCTGTTAAAGACATACAAGTTATCATATTGTTATTAAAAGAGGAAATATGTGCTATATGCCTTGAAATCTCGATGTCCGTTACATTCAAAATAACTGATTTCAGACGCTCTTTTCGTCCAATTACAAACTCAGACACTAGTTTTTTTGTCTAAATCGTTTTCAGTCAAGCAGTAACCTAAATTTTGTTTTTCTAAGGGAAGATTCATTAAATTACTAATGATAACTTGATGTGGCGCACCCTGGACCGAACCCGATGAAGCAAATGGGGAAAAAGGGGGGGGGGTTCAGCATACCCCTGTACCACTGGCATCGTTAGAAATATATTGAAATTTAAGTACTTAAGTCTACTACTCAAGACGTGAAAAAAAAAACATATGAAGATCCTCACCCAGCTTGTTTTCTTTTAGAAATTATGTGTTCCGATGATATATTTTTAATGCCAAAATGGCCAAATGCATGATTTTTGCGCAAATATAGCAGGAATCCAATTCTTAGTCTGTCTTGTTTCCATTGACATATACATTTTCCTTCATTTAAACAAACGTGTTTTCAACTTTATCATACCCAAACACTTACGAAACCATGTTTTGTTACATCTATTTCAACTTTGCTAAAAAAATTCAGGACATTTCAGTGGTTTTTGTCTCTTTTACGATAAAATCTTTAAGAAATGACTACCGATTTTTAGTGCATTTCAAGTTTGTGATTGCGCTGGTACACTAAAAATCATATTTTTTACTAGTGTACAAGTTAGAACTATTATTTTAATACCATTCTTCAAAAACTCACTGCACAGTTATTGAAAAAAGTCATAATTCCCCCCAAAAGGACAGTTTTCTATGCACTTCTTTTTGAAAATATTTTTTAAAATTCGAAGAAAAAAAAAATGGTTTTTACGGAAGAAATACATGTCAGTAAGAGGCGAATTGACTATAAACTGATAATGATAGAAGTTTGATGCACATTCAACCATATTGCTGGTATTCTGAGGATTAATTTGAGCCCTTAACCATATCTGTACGTCAGCAAATGACGATGGAACAAGACTAAATGCCCAAAAAATATCTTAAAATTTGCTTACCGGTGTGAAAGGGAAAGGGTTAAATTTACATTGATAAGAAGTTTATTTCCTCTTTACCATCTTTAAGCCAACCGAGCAAGACCCTCATGCGTAGTTAAGATTGTTATAAACCCCCTCATGGTCGACTATGATTAATAACTGTGCTAGTTATGATAATCATTTTAATATATTAAAAACAAAGCTGATTGTAATAATAATCAATATGTTATCATCATAAAAGACCAGAATACAAACCAAATAAGTGTAGACTGACAGGCCTACCAGACTGTACCTGATGTGCAGAGTCTGATCAGACTTTGGCATTGATGAAAACTAAGACCTAAGTCCTGTGACTAGACATGACTAGATTCAGTTGTTCTCGACTCATAATTTTTTAAAAAAGGATATCAAGTGATATAAAGCAAAGTCTGTTCGATTGTTTAAATTCATTTTGTTCATTGAATCAACCTAAAATGCAAAAAAGGTTAATACAAAGGGTTTTTTTTTGGACAAGTTACAATTCCATTCGGACAAGTAAGTTTTGGTATGTACTTGTCCTATTGGGCAAGTTGAAAAAAAAAGTTATTGTAGAGGCCTGTCCTCTCTGACTGTGTGACTGTGGCAAATAAAGTTCATTTACCAGATCACTTCAAAACATACATTAATTAAGATGGCCCATCATGGGAAGACAATTTAATAATCGAGGGACACACCAAGAAAGCCAGAAATGAATAGAAAGTGAAAATAATCAAATAAATAAAGAAGAGCTTGTTATGTGACCAGACAGTGAAATATATCCAGTGCACATGCATATATATTGTTGTTTACTAATTACATTTTATCATTACTTATTACACTCTTAGAGGACTCTGTCAGAAGTGTCAGAAACTTTGTATACATATACTGTAAACCAACTAATTTTTGCGAGCGATTTATTTTCGCGTCTTTCGCAGTAGAAAAATAACACGAATATAAATCGTCGCGAATATCTAAAACTTGGATCTTTCCTCATTTAACTACATCAAGCAAATTTTAAAATCGCGAAATTAAATCGCTGGGAAATGGGCCAGTAAGGGCTAAACGCCAAATAAAGAATCCGCGAAAATAAGTTGGTTTACAGTATATGTTTTATGTACTTAAAATAAACATTTGTCAGAGTTCAAAATGTTTAGTTTAAGTATAAAGAAGATTTTTTTTCTATTAAAACAAGTGCATATTGTAGATGTACATCATATGATGGGAAACATGCAAGAATAATCTCTAGTCACTATTATTAAACTACTAGTCTGCAGTGAAGTACTGTACTTTGTTTGGGCTTTAAAATTGTTAAATGTTACACCATTTAGATTGTTTTATTTCTAACACTGTCAGATGCTACATTAAATGTGTTGTGTTTAAAGGGAAACTTCGCAAAAAAATAAAAAATTGATATTATGTCCATTCTGTATAAAAAAGCACAAATTCATAAATATTAAAGTTTTATTCTGCTAGATAAGAGATCACCATCGATTTTAAATTTAGAGTATCAATTCTCTGCGTGCGGCCATTTTGACATCTTCTCGGTTTATAAACCACGATATATCTATAAACCACAAAGGACCAAAACCAGCAGTAACCTAACGTAGTCGCATTTATCCGACTAACTAACTTGATACGGAAAATGTAATTATTTTTCTAAATAACTATGGTCTGTCGTTTTTAAACTGTTTTTTCTTTACGAAGTTTTTGAAACAAGAAATTTATATGGGAATTAGTTAAAAAGTCAAAGTTCAATTTCATAAATAAGTGTTCCGTGTAAAATCGGTTTCGAAAATCTAATTTGTTCATAATTCTTTTATGTAATAAACTTATTTAAATAAATTCGGACCTTCTCTTATCTGATCACCAGCATGGCTAAAGGAATTATTCCCTGAGGTATTGTGAGGTGACACGTCCAGGTATTCAAGCGATTTCCTGTCGGGCTTAAAAACTCTTATTACACAATTACATAAAGCATGTTCATGCATCGGGTATTGATCAGTGTACACAGCCGATAACTTGTAACTTTCCATTTTGAAACTATCAGGTGTATACTGTAAATTCAGAAATTATTGCGATGTTTTTATTATTGCGAAAAATGCGACAGGGTTATAATCGCAATAATTTAAACACGCATTTTGAAAGTTTTTATATGAATTAAACAGGATTTTTCTCAATATCGCAAAAATTAAAACCGCATTTAAGTCTAAAATGACAAAATCGCAATAATAAATGCACGCAATAATTTCTGAATTTACAGTAATATCTCTGTCTTGCGTGTCCGATAGTGATATACTAGTCATTACTAAACTCATACGCTTGTTTATAAATAACATTTCTGGTGTAAAGAATGATATTTATGAAAATCTAAATAATTCCCAAAAAAGATTTAATAAAATAAAAATCTATTTACATATTTTTTCCAAGGGTAAATTGGGGAAAATGTAAGTATATACTCGTCAATAATGATGGACATTTTGAAACATGAAAGACTATTGATTTAACAAAAATGTACGCACTTGTCGATATTGGTTTATACGCCTAGATAGAAAGTTATGGAACTTTAGGTAGTCGCAATTTAAAATTGTATATTGAATATAAGAAAGAACATCCAGAACCAATTTGATTTAAATACAGGTCGATATCTAACTTGCTTTGGTTCATCGAAGTTATGGACATAGTAAAATCACAGATTTATATTTCAATTAGATTGTTCTCGAACAGTTGAAGAAATTCGTCATCATCTCAATTGTTGGGTATAATGTATATTAATGTGAACATGGTTCTAATAGAACCTTGTGCCAATTTTCCTGTTCCGACATGCATGTCATATATGCCACTGGACGTACATTAATGATCCCCAAAAAGTGTATTTGAAGAAATAAAGAAACTTCACTCCGGATAGACTGATAGTAGTTGTATTAACGTCTGATCAGCTTGAGGGTTGATTAATTTATTACGTTAGCTTGTGGGGGAATAAACCATTCCCAATATTGCACCTATGCATAAAATATTAAATAAGAGTAATATAAGAGAAAATATAAATACGAAAAGTCGCATATCTGGTAAAAAAAAGTCTCACCAACTATAGGATTTAACGTACAATTGTCATTATAATCGAAATAAGGGACAGTCATTAAAATACATGCATGTACGTTTTGATAAAAAGGGGTGCCGCAGTTGCATATTATTCATCATAAATCTATTTCAAGTTTATACTTTCCTGTTATTCTTATCAGTTAACGCAGAGACATGTAACTTTACATCTCTAGTTAACGACAATCAACTAAAGTATATAAATATCTGAATCTGATGTGACTTACCATTCATCTCTAATGGTTCATCTCTTTCATTTTTTTTTTTCTTCTTTTTTTTTTTATTGGGGCAGGAACATAAACATTGTTAGATATAATGTTCCCAGGTTTGAGGAGGGGGTTGGGGGGTTGGAGGTCAAGTCTATCGAAAGTTACAAAATAAGAACATTGTATTTATGAATTTACAAGAAGAATTCTGTTCTTGGACGTAGTTTTCTTCTTTTTTTTTAGTTCAGTGATTTAAATTGAGAAAAAATCTAGTCAGAATTTAAATCGTTCCGGCAATCCCCCACCTAAGACTCCTCTAAAATCATGAATGGTCATGCTTCACAATCATCAGAGTTTACTTTGCATTGGTACATTCTGTATCGGTAGTGATTAACCTTGACATTTCCGGGTATAACAGAGCTACTTGTATATTACCTGTATGTGGTAAGTTACATCGTCCCATGAGGTCTTACGTATACAGGTTCACATTTATAATGGTTTCTGATATAACAAGGTTTTATGACATTCACACTTCTGCATGTTCTGTATACCAGTTTCTTATCTTATTTTCAGACCGAATGAGGATGTGAATATTTTCCAGGAAAAATATTGAGTATCAAAGTATCAAATTAATTTCGGGATTTTTTTCTTTCTTGGTATTAAATCACAGAAATTTAAAGAATATACTGCTTATAGATATAAGAAGAAGTGGTATGAGTGCAAATGAGACAACTCTCCATCCAAGTCACAATTTATAAAAGTAAACCATTATAGGTCAAAGTACGGTCTTCAACACGGAGCCTTGGCTCACACCGAACAGCAATCTATAAAGGGCCCCAACAAATTACTTGTGTAAAACCAGGAGTATTCTTGTCAGTTAAGACAGACATATAATTATATGTATATATATGTCTGCGGTATAGACATGGTTTATGAATGAATGATAAGTCTTGCAAAGGTACAAGATATAAAGCACATTGAAAATTGATTCCGCCGGTCTGTCTCCATTCAATAAAGGAAAGTTGACGTTAGATTGATTCTGTAAAATTTTTTTAAACATCGTTGGTCAAATAGCTAAAGTATTTGTTGTGAGATGTAGAATATTTTAATAAGGACATTCCCGATTAGGTAAATGTAGATCGCTTTGGACGGACCAAACTATATTAATGTAACTGATAATTTTCTCTGCACATTTAAATATTCAAGGTTACCGATGATAATTCAAAATAGCACAGTTTTTGGTTTATATGCTCGTTTTCGTGGGCCATTTTTATTTATAAAATTATTTCATTGAAAGTTATTCAGAATTCCGATGTTACAACAAAATACTCACCCATCTATTTAAAAACTGAGCTAATGCAAAATATAAAAAATATATATAACGGCGATTCAGGTATTTTGCCACCATATTCCTCCCCAAATAATTATTTTTTCTGTCTAAAACCCACATTTCTATTTTATCTTTTTCAAACCGGAAAATAACTTTTGTTCGTAATTATTCGATCTCATTCCAATAAGACAAAGTTGACCTTAAATTTCCTGTCAACTTTTTAAACATCTTTCTTCAAATGGCTGAAGTATTTATACGTTGTGAGATTTAAAATATTTTGATAAGGACATTAATTCCTGAATATGTAAATAAAGATCGCTTTGGACGGACCAAATTATATAATGGCAATTGGTAATTATCTATTTCAAATATGCAAGGTTTCCGATTCTAATTTAAAATAGTACAATTTTAGTTCATACACTCGTGTTTAGAATGCCATTATTATTTATTCAATTAAATTAATTCAGTATTTCATTGTTACAAAAATATTCAGCAGTCATAATTCATTTTAAACTGAGCTTACGGAAAATATAAAAATATACCACGGTTATCCAGTTATTGTGCCACCATATTACTCCCCCAAAATAATTATATTTCTTTTTTTATTTTTTGTCTCAAACTATCACTCCCGTTTACCATTCATACAAAATGATGTTCACACCTGGAACGGTGAACTGTGACGGCTAAAATTCACTGAGTGAAGATCAAAAGATTAGAATTACAGAATGCAAACCTTTAAATACCTTGAATTTAACCACGCATTCAACAGGTAGTCACTAAGTGTCACAGTACAATACACATTGTATTAATTTTACACAGTACTAGCGAGAAATGTTTGCTAGACTGAAGTAAAAGGTGAGAATACAAACATTCATTTTTAATACACTATCAGTTATATATGTTTGTTGAAAATATCCGTCGGAAAAAAAATTCATAAAAATATTCTATTGTATGATTTACTTTTATTACTATAATGACTATAATCATATCAGAAATCCTTAAAATATAAATCGTACATTTTTTTTTAAAGTTGCACGGCTGATCACTTTACTTTCTTAATTATTAGTTGGTTAATAGCTACGCCAAAAGTCGTCGATGCGCTTTAAATCGCGTAATTATATGATTAACGAACAAGACTTAAATGAGATTAATTCCACTCCCGGCATGCAAAAAGACTTAAACTACGTCACAGAAGTCAGGAAGTTCGAATAAATAAAATTAATAATTCCCAATTTTCTTCTTTATTAGTTTTCATATCCAGATAAAACTTGGTGAATATGTTTTTTATGGTATTATGAACATAATAAGATGATAAGTAAAAAATCGCGAATTTTCCCTTTAAGACACAATACCAATCATCTTTGATTTTCATTCAGTATCAGATTGCCAGGTTTAATAGATAGGGCTTAGATTTCAAAATTCAACAGTCCGTCTAACAGACAGAAAATGTTTTTTAAGAAAATAGAATTTGATTTTTGCTGTTCCGTTTGTTGCATTAAATTTGATTTTTTAATGTCATATCTTCCTCTTTATTCCTGTGAAAAATCAGTCTGAAAATATCATGCTTTTAAAGGTAAAAAAAATAATTTCCCTACCTACCTTCCTACCCACCTGCTGATAGTGTGGGTCGGCAATGCCAAACAAACAATTTTTAAGGGTGACCTAAATAAGTTAACATGGCGCAAGGCTGTAACAAACAAAAAAAATAACACAAAATGCACTGTAACAATGGTTACCTACCCTGGCATAATTAACTGCAGTCTCCACTATGTTTTCTGATCGGAATTTCTGAAAGAATTTTTCATTAAACCGTTCTGCTGCTGCATGGACACCTCCCAAAATGCACTGCAAACAAACAAATCAAAATAAACCTACAACTTGCACACAGTTTTTCAAGCAATTATCAGGAATAGGAAGATGGAGTAATGTGACGCTGATTTATTTAAAGCCACACTTTTAACATGTTTAAATATCTCTCAAAACCATTCACTTTCTGTACAGTCATAAAATTGTTCTGTACATTCAAAAATTATTGTGATGTTTTTATTTGAAAAATGTGACAATATCATGTTTGCAATAACAAGAAAAAAGCTGTCAAATTGACAACACACTGGATTTTCTGGATTTTGAAGGCACTGTCAAGCTTGTTTGACCTGCCACATTCTGTGCCTATTTTCAAATCTATCGAGGACCATAAATCATGAAGGGCAAAAGTAAAAATCATCAGTTTGAAATTGACCTCCATTTTGTCATCAGTAACAACAAATAAAGTTTTAAAAGCATTGAACGGTTCATAAGTTATTACAGGGAAACAACATAAAGTGTCATTTTCCAATATCAAACTTGACTTCAATTTTGTCATCAATTACAACATATTTAAATTTCAAAAGCATTGGTCGAAAGGTTTCATAAGTTATTGATTGGAAACTGTTGGCAGCCACCTGCCCACCCATCACCCTTCCGCTGCCACTGTTCACCAAATTAATCACTGGATTTTTCCTTGCAAAACTCAATTAATAAAAACTAGCATTCATAACTTCAGTCTTTATTTTCCTTCCGCAAATTTTTTGCAATTACATTAATTAAATTTCAAAATTTTACCAATAAACAGTGATTTGTAATAATGAATGCACCCATTAATTTCTGAATTTACAGTAGTCATACTATCTATATGAAATTTTTCTTGTTGTTTTTTTAGCTATATTTTACAGACATTTATAACACTTAACAATTTCTATACAATACCTCATAAGTTTTCAATCTGTACAAATACTGAAGAAGTTTTCTTCTGACACGACACACTTCTCTCTGTTCCAGATTCAGACTGAAATAATATAAAAGATGAAAATCAGATAGGCGTGAAAGAAGAAACAATAAGGATCAAGTTATATGTCTAAAACCATCATCTGGAAATGTCTATATTATTCATTTTATTCAGAACTGCATTATTTTATTTTGCTGGCTTTCATCTGTTCATTGATTGGAATTATTGGTTTTGTTATTTTGACTGAATACAAAATTGACACCCATGCCTGAAATATTTTATCTTTAGAACACAACTTGCAGATACTCCAAAAATACCGTAAATGTTTACCTACATGTCGACATAAAATTCAAGTGTTTAAATTTTGAAAATTTCACTGTCTTGAATAAAGAGACATCATATCAAATTGGATGCAGCAGTAGAACCTGTACATAAAATTATAAAATTTAGAACTTAGAACTAAGAACAGACAGATGGTCAAATGTTGATAGACATCTACCCCCTTTTCAAATACTGTAAAAAAGAACTAATTGTTTTTCTTAGAACAAATGATTAAATAACTATAGAAACGTATTCTTTTTGTTGAGCCTGCAACATTTTTTCTAGGATGCGAGACATATAGATTCCACCACTGCATCAAGTGTGTAACGATATTTCTCCACTCAAAACAGTTAAATTTTTTATTTAAAGCAGGAGGCTTTCCAAGCTTTTTAAATAATTAAAATTTAACTGTTGAGAGTGGAGAAATATTAAAATACACGAGTTATAGTGGTGGAATCTGTTTCTCTGATTTTTTGATGATATCTAAACAATGTTTATCCTTCCTTTTCAGAGATTTGCAGAAAGTTGTTTCTTTATATGTGACATCATCAGACATGGTCGCCTTTATTCATGATGTCACAATAAGAAATTCAGAAGAAACCAAGAAAATTTTACGTCATAATTAAATTTCGACCAATCACTTGCCGAAAACAAAGTTTTCTCTAGAAAGGAGAAATATTATTCTCACACTGATCGAAAAATGTGAAAATAGCATGAAAATTAGAGAAATAGTGATCCTGCATTCCATTGTCAACATTTAGGTTGTTACTTTGTCAAACTTTCATTTTATTTTATCAAACTTTGGTCAAAAGACGTATCTACTGCAAAATTTACATTTTCTATATTTAAGTTGATTTGTGACTAAAATTGTATATTTAGTATTGACATTTCTGACTTTAATCTAAAGCTTTAAAGCTTACTTTTTAAATTCCAGTTCATTCAGCATTTCTTCTTGTTTAGCTTTCTTCAATTCCTCTTTCTTTGTCTGTGTTTCTGGATCAAATTCATCTAATGATATATCTTCATATAGACCATCTTCTGAATCACAGAGGATAAACCTAAAATAATGAGTGAAATATTAGCAATCCATTAGAGAACACTGACTTGCAAAGTTCAAAAACAAATTAAGAAATTCAGGATTTTTTTATATTCTTTAAGCCATTTGAGAAAAAAAAAACCAATTCACTCCTTTTGTTTCTTTACATAGTGAGTGAGAAAATCTTTGAAAATTACAAAAAAAAAATAAGAAAAGAAGTAGTCAAAACTGTTGACACAGAAATATGTCTTGCCTGTCAGCAGAAAATTCAGAAAAAGACAATCTGATGGACAGCAATATAGCTAATTAATGCAAAGTTGCTGGACCATAAACTAGGGGACAGGGTCTCAAAATTATCGACAAACTGAGATGTACTTATAGTAATGCAACTTTACAGAAAATATCATTGTCTATCATGAGTGATCCTTATTAAGCTAACTTAAGACGAACACTTAACATTGAAAATTGGTAATTAATTGAAAGTCACTAAACCATGACCTATGGGAGCAGGGCCTTGAAATAGTCGTCAAAATTAACATTGAAAATAAGCTGATCAATTGAAAGTCACTAGACCATGACCTAGGGGGCAGGGCCTCTAAATAATAGACAAACTGATATGTACTGATAGCAATTCAACTTTATAGTAAATATAACTGATCTATCACAAGTAGTTCCTATCAAACTGACTTAAGCAGAAAACTTTACAATTGATGACGCCGCCAAACAAAGATGCTGCCGGAAAAGCAACACCTATGTCTCTCCTTCTGCGAAACAAAAGTGAGATCAAGAACAATAGAAAATAACAGACTAAAACTTCTTAACAAAATGCATTTATAAACATGGTATGAAGCATCAACATCTTCTACCTTAGAGCTATTTTCCTAATGCATGTAGTTTAAAGGTTTGGTTGGCTTGCTTGCTTTGTTTGTATAAATGTTTGCTCATTCATTGTAATTCAGATTGACACCTGCAATCAATAGGTATGTTGGGTTCCAGCTTGTATACATTATACTCTGCAATATACTTAACATCCAATAACATTATAGTATAATGTATACAATCTGAAGCCCCGCCTGATGTCAATCTTAATTACAATGCTTGAGCAAACATTTATATTTGTATTTTGTAAATAAGGTTTATTATGTGGCCATTGAATAAAAATTCTATAGTGTGTGTAAATGCTTTTTTTATAACAAAATCCATACTATAAATTATTGTACAAGTTATAAGTGAATTTTAGTCAGTACAGGCACTTTTTGTACAATTAACAATTTGTACAAAGCCAAAATACAAATTATAATTTGTACAATTGTTTTGTACAAATTATAATTTGTACAAAATGATAATTTGTACACAACATATTTACAGGAGTAAGTGGTTGTTAGTAATATTCATTAAATATTATATACCTGTATAAAAAAACATGTAAGAAATATTTGTTACTGTTTGTCTTTGGGTGCGGCTTTGTCAGTAGTTTTATGTGGTGTCCAAATGGCCTTAAGCCAAAAGAAGATAAATGGGGAATGTGTCCATGGGACACAGATGATGCCCTCGCTTGCATATCTAATAAAGTTATAAAGGGATATAACTGAAGAACAGTAAAAGTGACGCTACCCTAATTTGTACTTGATCTGTGTTTTGTGGTAATAAGTATTGTGTATAAGTTTCATAACATTTGGTTGAGGCAAACTAAAGTTAGAGAATGTAAACAAAAAATTTAGCAATTTTTATGTTTATAAAGGGGCATAACTCAAGAACAGTAAAAGTGACACCACCCAATTTCAAACTTGATCTGTATTATGTGGTAATAAGCATTGTGTATAAGTGTCATAATATTTGGTTGAGGCAAGCTAAAGTTGGAGAACGGAAACGAAAAAATTCAGCAATTTTTATGCTTATATAAAGGGGCATAACTCAAGAACAGTAAAAGTGACGCCACCCAATTTCGCACTTGGTCTGTATTATGTTGTAATAAGCATTGTGTATAAGTGTCATAACATTTGGTTGAGGCAAACCAAAGTTAGAGAGCGGAATTGAAAAATTCAGCAATTCTTATGTTTATAAATGGGCATAACTCAAGAACGGTATAAGTGACGCCACCCAATTTCAAATTTGATCTGTATTATGTGATAATAAACTTTATGTATAAGTTTCATAACATTTGGTTGAGGCAAACTAAAGTTAGAGAATAGAAACGAAAAATTCAGCAATTTTTATGTTTATAAAGGGGCATAACTCAAGAACGGTAGGAGTGACGCCACCAAAATTTTTCAAACTTGATCTGAATTATGTGGTAATAAGCATTGTGTATAAGTTTCATAACATTTGGTTGAGGCAAACTAAAGTTAGAGAACAGAAACCACCTTTGGGACGTAAGCACGGATGTACGGGGGTAAAACTTAATGCCCCCTCCGCTGCGGCGGGGGCATAAATACAAAGTTTGATGCTAACAAATAAGATGGTTCAACATAAATGTCTAATATAACAAACAAACAGTTTTTCAGTTATAAAACATCAAGATTGATGTTAAATTTCTCTTCAGATTTTCAGGAATCAAACAGAAATTATTAGTCAAGAGTAATTTTATTTCTTTTTTCTTTTTTCTTCTCTCTTCCCTCCCTCTTTTCAATATTTCCTTTGACAGCAATAATTTTTTTAATGATTTTAATAAACTTTAACCCCCTACTCCCCCCATCCCCCCAAAAAAAATTAAATAAAAAATAACTAAGACAAACTCTAAAACACACTAAAAGCAATTCAAAAAAAGGAAAGGGTAAAAATTTATGAATAAATAAATAAATATCAGGCAATATCAATGTAAACAGGAAAAAAGAAATGAGAACCACATGCATTCACTTTTGCTTTCTCTCAGAATCACATACACACATACAATACTTACTTACATACTCACATACATTACTACTTATGTACATTATTATCTTTTATAATTATATGTATCAAAGTAGAAACAAAATATAATCTAATAAATTTGCTCGAAGATCAATATCATACTCTATACTGGAAATATATATTGTAATGGGGTCAAAATTTTTTCATATACATCAACATTATTATTTTTCTTTGCAATATAATATTCATATGACTGATATTGTTTTATTCTATATTTAAAACCAACAATATTAGGAGTAGGTTCCTTAAATTTACATTTGTATATATATATAATGTTTTGCTACTATAAATATAAGATTTATGAATAAGCTTTCTGAATAGAAAAGGAATATTTGCTTTTTATTGATAGCAAAATCCCTGCTGTACAATCTTATTCACTGCAATAATGATGACCATTATTGAAATGTAATTGGAAAATCATAGAAGAAATGTACAATAGTTTAGTGGTCTAAATTACAAAAAGTACATGTGCTTAAAGCTTTCATCTTTATCTTGTACAAAAATTTCGCGATTCAAGGGCAACAAAGTATACGCAAAATTTTGGCGGATTTTATTTTGGTGGATTCTTAAATCCCAATTAATTATTTTGGCGGATACTGAAATTGTTGTAGTTAAAAGATTGTAAAACAAGTGCCTATTGTTATGGTTTATTGTTTTTTTTACCTGAATGACATCTTAATTATTGATTATATTCTGATACAGTTAATAAATAAAATACCAGTGACTTAGATATTTGTTACAGGTATTTAAACGTCTTGTAAATTTTACAGTTGATTAGTTACGAAAATGACCGGAACTTTGATGTACTTACTAACTAGGTTACAAAATTGTCATGAGTGTTTACAACTCTTATATAGTTTGACACTAATTAATAAGGGTAATTACCTGACAAGACTACCTTACTCTCTTATTCTAATTGACACTTATTAATAAGGATATACACACCTGACATTCATTTTATAAAATACATGTATGTACAATGCCATTTGGCATTTATATTGTTAAAAGGAACATATACTGTTATTGACTTCCCGACCGAAAAAAATAGACTGTTTACAAAATGCTTTAGCTATTTGAAAGTACCCAACATATGCATAAATTTTCGCGGAATTTATTTTCGCTATTTTCGTTTATCCGCCAAAATAAGCGAAAATAAACATCCCTCGAAAAATAACCCACTATACGGTATCTATTAATCTCATCTGCATAAAACTTTGATATGAAAGATGACTCTAAGATGATAAGCACCACTAAGGTACCTCTTTGTCTTCATTATATGGTCCCTTTTAGTCAATTTATACCTCTCTTTCCCCAAAAATTTTAACTTTTAAGGCTAATAATCCAAATTTTAGGTTAACTATTACACATTTATGTAAGAAATATGATAATAAATGAGTATTTGAAGTGTTGAACTATCCATATAAAAGTTTTCTGATTCCATGGAGATTTCAATAAGTCCTTACATAAATCTTAAGTTTATACCACTTTCCAGAGAGGGTCTTTAAGTTAATAATTTGTTGTTACTGTTACTGCTTCAAAATACATTTTACTTACTTATTACTGTATATTTCTTAAAGAATTACTTCAGAAAAACTTTTCTTTTATAGCCCAATAAAGAAAATAAGGAGAAAAAGTCAGAGAAAACTCATCAAAACACTAAGTATGGCTTGCTCTGCCTACTAATATTCATGGTAGAGCCCTATTTCAAGGCAATTTTCCCTCAAATGTGTTTTTCAGACTCAATCAACTCAGAACATTTCATGATTGCAATGTTGCAGTGAAATAGCATGAAATTTTTAAAAATTAGAGTACATACAAGGCCAAAGACACATGTACAGCTTCCCTAAATAGGAGTAATACCACCATTGTTTCTTCCCTATTAGTCTTTGTTAAACTAACACATTTAAAAAAAAATATCTTTGTTTCAAATAAAAAAATACCTGGCAAGAGTAAAGTTTTGTTCTGTCCAGTACTACAGTGTAAACATCAATAACATTTCATTGCATATAAGATAATAACCATCACCATAAGTAAACCAATCAAATTTTCACCCCTTTTTTTCCTGTTTACAAGCTTTAGTAACCATGTCACCTCAAGTTTCCAAAATATTTT